AAGTGAAAAAGTCAAATTTGCTAAGTTCCCTATCTCGGGAAAAATGCCTCTAACCCTCGCATAATCAAAGACTTAGAAAAAATTTTGTAAACTTCTTGGCGAAAAAACAAATTACTAAGTATTTTTACTGCGGAATAAATTGGTTCGGAGTTCAGAAAATGCTTCGTGTTTAGTTCGTTTTTTCTTAGGTCGGAGTAGTAAGTCAGTAGATTGGAGGAATTGGTGTTAAGTTCGGAGAAACAAATTGGGTGGATGCCAAGGATTCGAAATATAGGCTCGGATTTGAACTTAGATTTTTTTGTAAATTTTGTCTGATAAAAGTTTTCTAAACTGCTTATTCATCTATATATATGAATGCACATGATACTTAGAGACAACTATCTAAGGAGTAAATTAGTGAATAATAAGATGAACATACATGCGAGTATGTAAAATTAGTATATAGGAGATATTTTGAACATGAACAACATAAATGAAAACCAAAAAATTAATAATCTTTTATTAGGGGGGGAATATTCGGCAATAGAAATAGCAAAATGTTTACTATCGTTCGATCCTTCAAGAAAATATTTCACAGAGAATATGATATCATTTGGAGACCACTGAGGAAGTATGCCATTAGAAGGAAATTTTCGTTTAAATAAAATGCTTCATATGTGCCAAGTATTTTATTGTGCAAAATATAACAAGCCTTTATTTAAAGAACCAATGACCGCTTTTGAGCATGGTGCTGTTGTATTTGATGTATACACAAACTTTTATGACTTATACAAACTCCTTAATCCAACTATTAGTCTTGATAAAGGAACCTACAATTTTGTTCGTTCAATATTCAAATACTTTTACAAATACAAAGATGATGACAAAACTTTGCGTAAGTTTTCTCATGAAGATCCTGCTTGAGAGTTAGGTCGCGAGAAAGGAGGACGAATGCCTTTAACTGATGAGTTAGTTTCTTACTATTCTAATTTTTTTGATGATACTCTAAAAGAAATAGAAGAAAATTAAATTTTAAATAAATGTCAAAGATAAAGAAATTAAAACGTAATACTATTGTATATTTTCTTGCTGATTACATTGATGATGATGGAGAGCCTGCAAAAGGAAGAAGGCATTTGGTAGTAGAAGTAGACTGAAAAAACGATAAAGTATTCCTTTTAAAAATAACTGGCAAGAGAAAGGAATTGCACCAAGCAACAATAGGGCTGATAGATTGCTTAGATAAGGTTTCTCGTTCTAATCTCAATCGAAAACCTTTTTTTAGCATTAGTTTCTTGGAAAAAAGTAATTATGAGCATTTTTATTTTTGCCCCTTTCATGTTAATGGTTGTTTGGATGAGAAACTATTTGATATTGTTAAGCAGAAACTCCAAAAATATTGAAACAATAAATTTAATCGTGATAAAAAAGAAGTGCTATTAGATGGTAAATTAAAACTTCCAATTCTAGAAAAGTTTCCAGAAAAATGAAAAGAATTTTATCCTCAGTTCAACGATAAAGAAAAATAACACTCCAAAATCCCTTATATGCTTCAAGGTAACATTAAAATCTTCCAAATCACAGATAAACAGTTCACGCCCGAAGGGGTTGGATTAACTTGAGAAAAATTTTTGACAAGCAATTGGCTAAACATGATGAAAAAACTGAAAAACTACTTCAAGAATTATCGCTTCCCAAAAGAAAAATCATGGTAAATAGTAGTGAAAAAACTATCGAAAAACTTAGAATACTTAATAATCACTTACTAAAAATCATTAGTGATTGTATTCATTGTGATAATAGGTTAAAAACTGTAAAAGAGGGAGATGAAATAGAATTTGTTCCTGGAATAAGAGTTGATTGTTGTTCTCTGTCAGGATTATTAAGAAATAGTATAAAAATAGCCACCGAAGATATGATTCGAGGGGAAACTAGAAAAGATATTGGTGAAAATCAAAAGATTTATAACTTAGTTCGGGTTCATACCATGAGCGATTTATCTTGAAGAATAATGGATTATTTAGATAAAAGCAAATCTCTTTGCTGTTCGAGACAGAAAATTCATGAAGAATGTTCTTGCCTTAGTCTTCTTAATGAATTGAGTAAAACAAGACCAAAATAAGTTATAAAATAGATTTAAAAAGCGGACATTAATTTTTTGCGGGGTAATAGAAAACGCTGAAAACAAACTCTTTTAAAGTTAATTAACCCTTATGAATACTAATAATATCTAGTTTTTTATACCTCTCTTGTCCTTTTTTTGGATAATGTTTATCTAGTCATTTTTGGGCATCAGGTTTTGTTATAACATTGTATTCGTCGCCATCACCTTAGTTGATCCTTTAATAGTAAGTCTTGTGAGATTATTATAGGAACAGTCTAATATTTTCAAATTAGTGAACCCTTCCAAACATAAATGACCCTTTAAATTTCGACTGTGAAAGTATAATATTTCTATTTCTCTCTTTTCTTTACCTCCATTTAAGAAATCATATTTTCCTTGACAGTTTTTTCCACTTAGATATTATTTATTTAATCACTTTTGGGCATTTACCATTTTTTTATTTTTTCTATTCACTATTCAGAAACTAACCTTGTCTAACCAAGAATTGTTTTATAAAAATGTTCTGAACATAGGTAATTTATTTTGTATAGACACTTAATTTCTGATAGAATATTTACTCTATATTTATAGTTTTTATACACCTTACCTCATCTACCTATCACTTTTTTCCGACCTAAAGGGGCAAAATATTGTCGGAAAGGACAGAATTAAAAGCAGAAAATGGCGGGGGGATATCTTAAAAATTTCAAAATTAGAACTAGTAGAAAATTTTAACCAAAACAAAATTTATATGTCAACTATCAATCATACGGCAAAGCCTAAAAAAAACCGCTTTAAAGATAAAAGTAATTGCTTCTTGTCATAAACTTATTCATGTCAATAATCCCCCTATTGATATTGATGAGGAAGAAGAACTAAAAATCTACAAAAAAGCTCGAAAAAAATCTCGAGCCATTCTTTTGGAACATTTAACTGAAAATTGTCAAGGCATTTATAAACCAAAAAACTTGGAAGAACTGACTACCAGAATCAGTAAACATATAAAAGAAAAAGAGAACTTGGAGCAAAAAATAATTTCTCTCCGAAGTAAAGGAAATTTAAGCAAAGAAGAAGAAAAACAGTTAAGTAAATTACAAACAGAAAAGAAAAAACAAGATGAGATTATCAGTCAAGAAACTTTACAGCACTTGCAGGACAAAGGAATAAATTGAGAAAAAGCAACTAAGGTTGGTCTACAAGGAGCCGGAGTTTTGACTGGAATTGCTGGTATAATAGTTACGGCACTTTGCCGAATTATGTAAAAAACTAATCTACTTACTTTTTTTTGTATATAGTTACCAAAATTTTTATCGGATTCAAGCAAGGATAAATGGTTTGAAAAGGCAATTACAAGCACAAATAGAAATCCTTCTAAATAATAAAAATTTCACTGTGTTTCACCTTTTTTTGAATATTTTTAAAATAAATATATGAAAGAAATCTTATTAATAAAAACTGACAACAGTGCCAAAATAAAAAGACTTTTGGATGAAAATAATGCTAATTACGAAATAATTTATAAAGATACAGTTGATTTAACCGAGGAGGAAATTTGACGCCAAGATGCTCGGTTAGCCAGTCAAGATAAAGAACGAGAAAAAGAATTAAAGGCATGGGACAAAATAACTAGTAAAATTGATGATGAGTAAACAATTATCCCCTAAAAGAGGGGAAATTTATTGAGTGAATTTTAGTGAATTGGAAGGAGATGATAAATCAGTAGGAACCGAAATCAATGGCAAAGAAAGACCAGTGCTTATCATTTCGATTGATTGGTATAATGATGAAGCCTCCCGCGTTGCCATTTTGCCACTATCAAGTAAGGTAAAAAATATTAGGGTGTTTGAATTTTATTTAGGAAAGATAGTGATAAATGACCCAAAAAATAGAGAAAGTAAAGTGATGGTAGACCAAATAAGAAGCATTGACAAGCAAAAATTAGGTGAAAAGTGTGGTGAATTAACCACAGAACAAATGGAAAAAGTGGAGGGAATATTAAGGAAATTTTTGGTTCTAGTGGGGAAAGTAAAAGCCAAATTATAGTGAATTTCATTGCAATTTATATAATCTTTATTTACTAACTTTTCATAAATATCTTTCGTTTTTATTAGAGTAGAGTAGGGGTTTGATTTGTTATGAGACCACAACCAATTTGAAATTTTGCTAGTATAGAATTGGCAAAGGGCATCTTTAAAATTAGTTGTGTTTTCATCACTTTTTCCACAAACACTGCAAAAAGGGTTTTCTCCTACTTCGCGGTCTCACTGAAATTTACTAGACCGATGAATGTTTTGACATACATAAACCCTTTCGTTTTCATAATTTGTTTGGATTTTTATCCTTGTTGGAACTAATTTTTCCAATTCTTTTAAAGTATTTTGAGAATCTTTTACAAATTCTTTTAAAGTCAAATCTTCCTTTATTTCTTTTAGCAAAGATTTAGCTTCTTTTTGCAAACTTATTATTTTTTTATAGTCATCAGTATTTAATCTTTTGCTTTCATAAACTTTTTGACTTAGCGGACAGATTCCGTTATTTAATTCATTTCATTTATCGTGTTGTCTCTGCTTTATCCTTTCAGAGACTTTTTGAAAGTATGCTTGGCACTTAGGTCTAAGGCAAGTTGAAGCAACTACTTCTCCGCCACACTGAGTACATGTTCTTTTTGCCATAATCTTAAAAATAGAATGCTAAATCTCTATTCTGTTTTTTTTTTTTTTTTTTTGCTAACCATAATAGATAATTTTATAAAAGAGTAGTAGTAAAGGATTAGCGGATTTTGGAATAAAATTAGTATATGGTAAATTGGAAAAGAAAAAACGATTTTTTTAAAAATTTTACTGAGAAACTAACCCAAGAATGAATAGCAGAAGGTTTTAATAAAAAAGATGCTAGTGAATGACTAGAAAGTGGTTTGCGACCTGAGGATGCTAAATTCACTCAATGATTGAGGGAAGAAAAAAACTTTAACTCGAATTATTTTTTTGAATGCAATGATAATGAGGTTGAGAAATTAAGAGAAGAACATGCTAGCAAAAATCCAAGCCTTAAAAAAAGTGTTTCAAAGGTGAAGGATAGTCAAAAAAAGGATATTGTTGATCCCAAAAAATGATTAGATACAAATTATCCAGAAGAAAAGAGGAATGAGATAACTGATTTGGAACATGTTGGAAATATAAAAGGTGATTTAATTATCGAAAAATGAGAAAATTTGGAAAAAATAACTTTAATCCCTTATATTTATATTATTAGTACGAGTAAAAAAACCAAAAAAAATTCTGCTTCAAATTCTTCCAACGAACTACATAAAAATAAAAGTCATTCTGAAAATAATAATTTATTGATAGTTTTAAAGAATTTGCCTAAATTAAGATATTTAACTATCAAGAAACAAAGACTTAAATGATTGTTTATTAATAATTGTCCTCAACTACAAGAACTTAATTTAAGCGATAACTATCTTAGAAATTTGGAATTTATTGATAATTTAAATCACCCCGAAAATTTAATCATTTTAAACATTGATGACAATGAGTTTACAAAAAAAGATTTATTTTTTCTCACTAGGTTCAAGAATTTAGAAGAATTAAACTTGGGAAATAATTACAAAAGTATTAAGCAGATAAAAGGAAGTCATTATAATCGCTTTTACGGAAGTTTAGAACCTTTAAAATTTTTGACTAAATTAAAAAAACTGAATATTTCTACTACTGATATTAGTCATGGATTAGAATATTTACCTAATAGCCTTGAAAAATTTTCCTGTCGATATAATAAAGAAATACCAAATGCCAAAGTTAAAAAAATACACAAATTATTGTCTGATCGGGGAATCGTTGAAGATGATTTAGAATACATAAAAAATTTTTCGGAAAAGTTTAGAAATATTAGAAAAAAACCATTAATGAAAGAAGAACCGAACGGAATTAAAAAAAACAATTTACATAACAAAATAACTATAGAAGCAATTAAACAATTGAAAGGTATCGAAAACCACCGTTATTCAACTAAGGAAAAAGAATTGTTAATCGAACAACTAATACCTGACTCAAATTTAAGAGAAAGATATAATAAATATGGACTATGCAAAGATTGTGAACAACCTAATACCGGAAATAATTATTGTCAAATTTGTCGCTCTGAATATTTTCGGCATAATTTTGGTTTTTGAACAAGTAGTAATTACGATATTGATAAATTTATTCAAGAAAGTCAACTAAAAGCAACTAAACTAGGAGAAGTTCTTAATTGAGTGCCTTACGAGAATTTTACTAATGTTGAATACATTGCTGAGGGAGGGTTCGGGAAAGTTTTTAAGGCTAAGTGAAAGGTTAAAGGTTATCGTTCTGAAATCAATGACATAAAGGATGTGGCTTTGAAAAAGTTAAACCATTCTCGAGACATAAAAAAGGATTTTATACGAGAAGTTTTTTATTATAATTTATTTGACTATGATATGATTGTAAGGTGTTTTGGAATTTCTCGATGTCCTTCAACTAAAGATTATATTATAGTAATGCAATACATAGAAAATGGGAGTTTAAGAAAACATTTAAACAAAATTTATAGTAGGTTAGGTTTTGCTGAGGAACTTAGTTGATTAATAGATATCATAAAAGGATTAATTGCTATTCATAAAGAAGGATTAATACACCGAGACTTGCATTCTGGTAATATATTAAGCGGTGTTGTCCTAAATGATCGTTCATTTGCTAGTTGTTTTATTACTGACTTAGGATTATGTCGACCTGCTAATGAAACTGATAAAGGCAAAATTTATGGCGTTCTTCCTTACATTGCCCCCGAGGTTTTAAGATCTCTTCCTTTTACCCAAGCCAGTGATATTTATTCTTTCGGCATAATCGCTTATGAAATACTGACTGGCTTACCTCCTTATTGCGATATACCTCATACAGAATTCTTGGCAACAAAGATATGTGAGGGAACACGACCTAAGTTCAATATCAAAATACCGCCTTTGTTGGAGGAATTAATCAAAAAGTGCTGAGATGCTGAGCCAAAAAACCGTCCCACCGCCATTTCCTTGCATGAGACTTTATTTAGTTGATTAGCGGAGATTAATGATAAAAAAGACACTGAATTTTATCAACAATATGAAAAAACGGAAAAAGTTAATGAGTTATCGAATTATAAGACAGATTTGTTATATAAATTATACAAAATACATCCCGAAGCGATTTATGCTAGCAGAAAATTTTATTTTGAAAATCTTTCTTCATCTAAAAACTCTAAGGAAAACAGTTTGGAAGATTTAAGAATTAGCGATTCAAAGGAATTCGGTGAAGAAAAAGACAGAGAAATTTGTCAATTGCAAGAAGAAATTATATTAAAAAAATTCAACATATATGATGACAGTGATTGTTATGATTGAAAAGAAAATCACCTAGACTTCACTTCCAAATTAATCAACCAATGACAAAACAATAACTTCACCACTCAGCAATATAAAGAATGATTGGATATCGGTCTAAAACCTACTGATGCTAATTTCTGTACCTGATTAAGGGATATAAAGCGAGTAGATAGCGAGTGAGTGCTTAACTATGGCAATTTAAAACAATTAAATCAAGAATTTTTTAACTGATTGCAATCCCAACAACAAACTCAAATACAAATCCCACCTAAATAAACTTTCTTTTAAAATTAATAATATAATAGAAAGTTAGCAATAAATTCTTTTGTTAATTAATTTAACTCCTTATGAATACTAATAATATCTTGTATAATCTTTCTAAAATGCTAAACTAACAGAATTTGAACCCTTTTTTTGCTAACCGTAATAGATAATTTTATTATAAAAGAGTACAGATATTAGTGGATTTTATAAAAAATTATAAATATAGTGCCTATGGTCGGAGGGATAGGAAATAGCAAATTAGTATAATTCTAAAATCTGTCGCTACCTAGTTTGTGCTATATTTGGATTAAGTTCTGGTAGTGATTGTGAACAAAAAAGAAAATCAATGCATTGCAATACTCAAAAATATGAAAGGAATAAAAGAAATTTTTAAAAAAGATTGAACAAAAATAAGTCGGGATTTCACTCCGGAATTGAAAAAAGAGTGAAAGGAAAAAGGATTTGGTTATAAAGAGTGTAAAGAATGAATAGAGTCTGGTTTAACTATCAATGATGCGGATTATGCTGGATGGATAAGAGATGTTAAAGAGATAAATACCAGCACTCCTTATTTTTATATACTTTGACCAAATTTACTTAACGGACAACTGAAAGAAGAATATTTAGTTTCAAAATTACAAGAAGAAAAAATAAAATTAACCGTTCGAGGAGAAATTTATGGTAACTCTTCACCTTTTCAAGTATATTTTCCTAATGCGATTACAGGTCATCCAGGTATTGACCAATTAATCCAGAGTTCACGAACAGATCCAAGCATTAGGGTGGAAGTATTAGAACAAATCCTTTCTAATTCCCTTGAATGGAAAAACATCCATCTAGGTTTTGTCCCAGAATTAGAAAAGGCATGGAAAGAGTTGGGGTTTAGTTATGAGCAAGCCAAAGAACTAATCAACTTCGGTTTAAAGCCTATTGAAGTTTGCTTTGCTGAATGACTAAAAATTGTAAAAGCGGGGTGGTTTCTGGAAAATGGTAGCATTGAACAACTAAGAGAAGAACATAGTCAATATTTAATATCTGTAAATAAAGGAATTAAAATTAGCGTTGAAGCATCAAAAAAAATAGAAAACTTTACACCCTATTGGAACAGTCTGATTAGAGAGTTTGAATTTCCTCTGGAACAAAAATTATTACTGAAAGAACTAGTACCTAGCAAGGAATTAAGAAAAAGAATTGAAAAATATTCTTTATGTCCTTTGTGCAAACAACCTAACACAGGAAGAAACCTTTATGGCATGAAGATGTGGTGCCAACCCTGCAATGCTCAATTTTTAAAAAAAGAATTTAAGAACTGAAATAGCAGTAACCCTGAAATAGATAAATTTATTCAAGAGGAACAACTAAAAGCAGTTAGTCCCGATAAAATTTTAACATGAATACCTTACGAGCAATTAGAAATTGAGAAGGATGAGAATAATAAAAACAAAGTTATAGGTGAAGGTGGTTTCGGTAAGGTATGCCTAGCAAAATGACCACGGGGAAAAATAAAAGTAGGCTGGTATGTTGAAGACAATAGTTACGAAAGTGGTTTAAGGGAATTATGAGAAAGCGACTCAAGAGTGGTTTTAAAAAGTTTAAAAAATTCTCGGAATATAACGGTGGAATTTCTTAAAGAAATTGCCAATACTAAGTTAGTTGACCACAGTTTCATTGCTCAGTGTTATGGAATTTCTCGAGATCCTAAAACTAAGGATTATATAATGGTCATGTCATATATAAGAGGAGGAGATTTGAGACAGTTTTTAAAAAATAATTATGCCGAGTGAGGTCTTTCAGATAAACTTCTTGGAATATATTCCATTATAACTGGTCTAAAAGTCATTCATGAGAAAAAATTAATCCACAAGGATTTGCATCCAGGTAATTTACTAGTAAATATCAAAAATAGTAATACTTTTAGGGGTATGATTTGCTATATTACTGACCTTGGTTTATGTCGACCAGCCAGCGAAAAACATAATGATAAAATTTATGGAGTTCTTCCTTATATAGCACCCGAAGTATTAAAAAACCAACCTTATACCCAAGCCAGTGATATTTATTCTTTGGGCATAATCGCTTATGAATTATTAGTTAATACTTATCCTTATCCTGAAATGAATGACATGGTTTTAGCATTAAAAGTTCATCAAGGTTATCGACCTAATATAAATGAAGTTAAAATACCACCTATGTTAAAAAATTTAATTAAGAAATGTTGAGATGCTGATCCCGAAAAGAGACTAACTGCTGGAGAGGTGCATGAAACTTTTTACAGTTGGTTATATGAAGTTATTGAAAACAAAGAAAATTCTCCATTCTACCAACAATATCTAGAAATAGAAAAAGAATACAGTCATTTCTCCCAAAATACCCCTTATCAAATCCATCCAACCGCTACTCTAACTAGCAAACCTATAAATACTAAACCAACTAATAAATTATTGCAAAAGATCGAAGAAAACAATATTTCTCAATCAGTAGACTTAGATATTGATAAATTGGATGACTATTTAAAAAAACTAAAATCTGAAGAACAACAAGTCCAGATTGAACAACCTCCTGAATAATCTTTTTCTACTCACTTCTTTAAAATTAATAATATAATAAAAGTTAGTCAAAAATTACTTTATAATAATCTCTCTAATTACTTATGAATACTAATAATATTTTAATTTAAAAAACGAATTTGCTTTTGGTAGTAAAAATGCTAATATTGAACCCTTTACTAATCTCTTTTCTAATTCTCAGTCCTCTGGGAAGTTAGCCAACTTTTCTCTTACTGATTTTGGTTCTTCGCTTAAAAAGGCTCGGCTTTCGTTCGGGAATGTTAATTTAGGGATTTATAAACAAGGTTCTCGCCGCAAACCAGCTCCGCTGTTTCATGACCCTGTCAAAGAAAAAGAGATTTATCAACTAGTGGCGGACTTGAAATTTAAAAGCCATTATTATGCTTCTTTAAGAAACTTCAAAAATGGGATAATTATGAACTTCACGGCCGAGGATTTTGCTCGCGGTCTTTACTTTTCCACTTGAACCTTTAATAATTTCCAATCGGAGTTAAAATTTTCTTTTGCTTCCTGAACTGCCAAAGGGAGAAATTGTGCTTTTGATAATTGTAAAATAAACATAATAAGAAAATCTAAAAAAGAATTAATTTACTTATGAAAAAAGAACTAAAAATTAAAAAACTTCCCCCTATTCATCCGGGGGAAATTTTACGCGAAAGATTATTAGCCCCTCGCGATATTAGTCCCCAAGAGTTGGCTCAATCCTTAAAAGTTCCTAAAGAACAAATAAAATGATTATGTGAAGAAAGAACCGATGTTACTCCGGATTTAGCGGCTCGATTAGCACTTTATTTTGATAGCACCGTGGAATTTTGACTTAATTTACAACACGGTTATGAAGAAGAAGTAGCCAAAGAAAGAACCGAATTATTAAAAGATGAAATTGTTCCTTATAAAACCAAGAGGGGAAACTTAAAGCATGCCACAACTCATTAAACGCAAGAAGTTTAAAAAAAATGTTAAAGAATACATGGAAGGTCAATGATTTTCCCAATACGAAGGAATTAAAAATGTTGCAGAAACTCGCCAAAACTTAAAAATAACGGCTAATGCAAGGGATAAAAGGGATTTTAATATGTTCGCAGTGGAAAAAGGAGCCAAAACTTCCAATTTGCATCTAGAACCAATTCAAGGAACCAAAGACCATTGCAGTATTAGAACCGGCGGACAATGACGCATATTTTTTGTTTGAGAGAATAACCAAGCTTGAGAAATTGATTTAAGTAAACATGATTATAAGAAAGTAAAAAGATAACTAAAATTAAACATAAAACTCCCAACCCTCAGTAGAAAATAGGGTCTTTTTAGAGAGATTGTGGTTTTTCTTCCGAAAATTCATTTTGCAAACCCTTTATTTCTGCTAACCATTCTTTTTTTTGAACCAAATGCTCTTCATCTAATTCATCCCGATTAGATTTGTTTTCTAAATTGGCTATATCTTGCTCTAATTGCTGAATAAAGGCATTAATTTTGCTCTCTCTCTCTCTCTCTGTGTGTGTGTGTTGTTATTACTATTTATATCTATAATTAAATTATACTTTTCTATACCTTGATTTATGTGCTTCTGTTTTTTTTCATAGTTTTTTACTTCTTCTTTGCTATTTTCTTGTTCTTTCTCTAACTCTCCAAGTCGCTTTTGAAGGCAATTATAACACATTCTCATTCTCTCATTATCTATATAATAGGCTTGAAATTCCACCGGAACCCCCTTTTCATATTTTAAGCACTTTTTAACGCACCAACAACAAAGTTCAGCATAGTTATCAAAAAAACATTCTTACGAACAAAATTCTCGACCATCTTTCTTATTTAGTAAACAATTTCCTGATTTAGTTTTGCCACAACCATAACAAAAATATTGTTTATTACTTGACTTTTTTTGAGGTTTAGGTTTACTTTTATTGTCTTTTGCTACTCTATCATTTAGTTCTTTTTTTCATTCATCTAAACAGATAAAGCAATTAGATAAATCTCTTTTTTTCTCGTTTAAATGAATTTGGTGGGTGATTTTAATAAGTAGTCTGCAAATTTCAGAATTATTACAATATGCGAAATCAGTGCCAGAGTTATTTTCTCCAAACTCTTTGTTTTTAAGGGATTTAAGTTTTAAATTACTGGCATTTAATTCTAATAGGGTAATACATTAGTAGTTTGATGGGTGTAACCCTTCTGTTGTAAATAAGTAGTTAATTCCGACTTCATCAATGCTTAGACCAATATTTATTCAACACTTAGTTTCTTCATAATAAAAATCATGTTCTTCTCATAGAACTTGGGATGTAGAATTAAAATCTGGATGAATATCTTTTCAATTTACCATAATGATTATTTTATCAAAGCCTTTCAATTCCTTTGTTTTTTTGTAAAAAAATTTAGTTAATACTAGTTATTCGTTTTGAAAAGTTAACTGTTTTATTGAACGGCGGTGGTAAATTAAGTATTTTACGATAGATTTGATTTGCTAAATGAGGAATAGAGGAAAAAATGCCGGAAAATTAAAAAAAGTATGAGAATTGAGAAAGGAGAGAGATATTTTTTCCTGAAATCGCGAAGTATTAGAATAGAAAAGTTTACTTTCGATGCTTCTTGCGAACAATTTATATCAAATCGAAAAACTTTTAAATCTGGTCAAACCTTTAAAAAATCATGAACCTGCTTATATTCATATCCGAGGAGTCAAACATGGCAAAATCTAATCTTGTTAGAGAAATCCGACACTAAAAATCCGAGGATGAAATAAAGGTCAAATTTCCGAGAAAGAACACTCTTGCGAATGTTAAAATAATTTCATGCTAATTGGGATAATTAACTATAATATTTCCTAATTTTATTATAAAAAAACAGAGATTAATGGGTTTGGTAATTTGGTAATAAATAATAAATATAGTGCCTATGGTCGGAGGGATAGGAAATAGCAAATTAGTATAATTCTAAAAATCAATTGCTACCTAATTTGTTATAAGTGCTTAAAAGCAGAAGTAGTGATTGTAAATATAAATAACAAACAGATTTAATAATATGGTAAACGCACAACAATGATTGGATAAGGAATATCCTAAAAAACAAAGAAAAAATGTTAAGGAATTAGACATTAGTTGTAAGAATCTGCAAGGTAATATAAATCTTGGCGACTTCACAAATCTAGAAAAACTTTGATGCAATAACAATGAACTTGCTGACTTAAATTTAAACGGATTATCTGAATTAAAAGAGGTGTATTGCTTTTTAAATAGTCTAACTGACTTAAAACTAATAGGTACGGATAAATTGCGAGTACTTGATGCCGGAATGAATAAACTTAGAAATTTGGATTTTTCTTCTTTAAGTAACAGTTTGGAAAAGTTATTACTTCATGAGAATGATTTCTTGAGTCAAAACATATCATGTTTTAGCGGACTTACTAATTTGTCTCATTTGACTATTAATAATGATCTTAATGTTGGAAGTAAGCTTTTTAATCGTTTTTATGGTTCTTTAAAATCGTTTGAAAATTTGACAAAACTGGAACGTTTCGATATTAGAAATACTGATATTGATTTTGGTTTAATTTATCTTCCTAAAAGTGTAAAGGAGTTTCGTTGTTCATGCAAAGAAAGACCTGAAAGTAAAGTTAGGAAAATTATTAAGGAAATAGAAACAGCAAAATCTTTCGTTTATGTTGAGGAAGGCGATATGTACAAAAAAAGAGAAGAAATAAAGAAGGAGAATGTCAAAGATTGATTGGATAAAAATTATCCAAACAAGGATGCTAGAGTAAGGGTTAAGACTCTAGACATTGGCGGTAAAGGGTTTGGGGGTTATTTAGATTTGAATGATTTTGAAAATTTGAAAAAATTGTTCTGTGGTGGCAACCAAATTACTGGACTTGATGTTGAGAAGTGTATCAAACTAGAAACTCTGAAGTGTGAGAATAGTTCAATTACTAATTTGCAATTACCTAACAAGAAAAATAATTTAAAAGAACTAGTGATTATTTACAATAAGTTACCTGCTAGCAACTTAAATTTTCTCAAAGAATTTGTCAATTTAGAAAGGCTCCACATAAACAACAATAGGTTCTACGGCTCCCTTAAATACTTAAAAGATTGTTGCAAACTTAAGCACTTAGATATTAGTGATACCGATATAGACTCTGGATTAGAGTATTTGCCAGAAAGTATTGAAATTTTTCGTTGTCTAGCATCTAAAGGCTCACAATGTAAAGTAAAAGTTATCTCTAGTTGTTTAAATGAACCATGACAAGGGGGATGATGTGATTATCAAACTTGAAGAAAAGATAGAAAAAAATGAGAAGGGAAAGGATTCAATAGTAAAGAAATTGAGTCTTGAATGGAAGTTGGTTTAAAAATGAATGAGTCAGATCTTGCTTCCTACTTAATTAATCAAGGTTATCAACCAACTATCCCTAATGTTAAAGAAAAAATAATCCGAGAGTCTTGAAGAAATATTATCCCTAGTTTTGATTACCCGCTTAGAAAGAATTGGGAAAAAAGAAATTTTAATTGAGAGGAAGCAAAAAGATGAATAAATGCGGGAGTTGAACCGAAAGATCATGAATTTATTGGTTGGTGCAAAGATATTCAAAAAATTGATGCTGGATGAGTTCTAAATAACAAAGAAGAATTTCATGCATTAAAAGATAGGCATAACTATTTTGGAACTTGTAAAGAATGTAATCAACCTAATGTTGGACGTAATTGATGCCGAAGTTGTAATATTCAACATTGACAACAAAATAAATGAACTAGTGGTAATAAAGAAGTTGACAAATTTATTCAAAAATACCAACTGGAAGCGACTGATTCTTGAAATACTTTAGAATGAATACCTTATGAAAAATTCGCTGACATTGAATACTTAGCCGAAGGAGGCTTTGGTACTGTATATAGAGCTAAATGAAATGAAGGACCGATTAGAAAATGAAGTAACAAACAAAATAAATGAAAAAGAAATAGTAAGAAAGAAGTTGCTTTAAAAAGTTTGAATAATTCTCAAAATGCAAGTACTGAGTTTTTTCAAGAAATTTCTACTCATAAGTTATTTAAAGATAAGTTTACTGGTGTTGTGCCATGTTACGGTATCTCTCAAGACCCCCAAACTAAACACTATGTAATGGTAATGGAACACATGAAAGAAGGTAACCTACAACAATACTTACAGAAAAATTGCCAAAAATTAAGTTTTAGCGACAAACTTAATCAATTGAATGACATTGCAAAAGGATTAAAGGACATTCATCAGCAAAAATTAATTCACTGTGATTTTCATTCTGGTAATATATTATATCCACCATGTAGTATCGCTGACTTGGGTTTGTGTAGGTCGACCAATGAAGAAAACCGAGGGGAAAAAATTTTCGGAGTATTACCTTATGTTGCTCCCGAAGTTTTACAAGGAAAACTATACACTCAAGCCAGCGATATTTATTCTTTTGGAATGGTAGCCTATGAAGTACTAACTGGGCTAACTCCTTATCATAATTCATCTCATGACACAGATTTGGTATTATTGATATGTAAAGGGGGGCGACCTGAATTTTCGATCAGAATACCACACTCACTAGAGGATCTAATTAGAAGATGCTGAGATGATAATCCATCAAAACGTCCTAATGCTAACGAAATAAGCAAGAGTTTAGGTGATTGAAAGAGTGGGAAAAGTACTGAATTTATCCGCCAAATCCAAGCAGCCGAAGAGTTTAATGAAAAATTATCGGAAGAAGTAAGGCATCCTGACTATATCAAACCTACAAATACTAGACAGATTAGTAAACAAATATATGGCACTAAGGATCTAGATTTGGAAATTAATTTTGACCTCGATGAATTAAATCTCCAAGAAACTATTCAAGAAAAAAGTTCTGCCAAAGCACAGATTGAACAACTACCTAAATAAAATTCTGAACTCCCCTAATGAGCATTTTTGCCTTTAAATTTATTAAATTTTTATCTTTTAAAACTGAACACTACCTTCTTAATCCTCTAAAAGTAAGCACTTTTATTTCAGAGTATCTAATTACTGAATACTTTTGAACGAAATAGCAAAAATTATTACGCTTATTCGTCTTAACTGCCCACTTTTTTAATAACTCTAAACTTCAAAGTAAGAATTAATTTCTAACTACTACTTTGCCAATAATTTTTTGTGGTCTTTTAATTTTATTTATTAGAAATTTCTTTTTCATTAATAAACTAGAATCTAAAAAACCTCTTTCCTAAACCGAACAAAAATTTAGGACCGGCTTGGTATCGAAATCGTTGCTTAGATTTTATGAAGTCTCAACATTTCTCCTCCGTTTGACATTTAACACAAAGATCTGTCCGGTGTGGTTTAATTTCATCCTTATCATTACCTAATTTAAGATGCTCGTATTTTATCAGCCGATTAACTTTACTAGTACAAGCCTTACATTCTTGTTGATAGTAGTCCTTATTCCGGTCTAATTCTTTAATCGGAACATTATCCTTATACTTTTGGAGGAGAATTCAAGTATAAGCACTGTTTCAGCCTTTACTGCACTTTTTTTTCTGATTATCACACTTCCAACTCCCAAAAACTCGGTAAAATTCCTTGCCCTCTTTGTTCTTCCAGACTAGATTTTAAAGACTTCTTTAACGGGATTTTTTTGGTTATTATTTGCTGGAGGAGTTTCGGATTTTTTGTCTTTTGATGGTTTTTGGTTTTGATCTTCTAAATATCTAACTTCTTCCGTTTTAGGAATATTTTCTTTTGGTAAATATATATTTTTTGGCATATTAAATTTTATAGTTTTTTATATTGTTGCTCCCTCCTTGCTTTTTCTGATAATCTGCTATGGCTCGTTCCACTATTTCCACCATCAAACTCTTTTCTTTTAAGGCTAAATCTTTTAGTTGCCAATAAAACTCTTCACTGACTTTAAAATTTAAGGGCTTGATGCGGATATTTACCTTATTTGAGCGAATGGGAGCAATTTCGGGAGTCTGTAAATTAGAACTAGCTTCTTGAGAGATTGTTCCGAGGTTTTGTTTTCGTAGTTTATTTCATTTATTCATATTTATTTCTTTACTGACAAAAAATTCTTTTGTAACATTTTCCGCATAGATTAAAATCTTTTTTTTCAATTTTCATTACCATTTCCTTCTCCTTACACATAGTCAAATATACTCTCTACTAACTTCTTGAATTGCTTTTGTGTAAAATTTTATAAGTAATCTCGGTAGTACTTTTGTTCATTTTGGATAGAGCAAAAAGATACTTTTTTTGTAAAGCAATCGGTAAATAAGAATAACTGGTTTCTTGCAAGTATTCTTGGATGATTTTACCTTCGGCTAGACTATACCGATGTGATTAAGGACAAAAAGGAGTTTTTTTATCTATTTTGGCTTTTGCTGAGGCATTAAATCCTTCTACTGCGGGAATTAAATTGGCTCGGCTGGCTCCGGTGCGTCGGATTATTAAGATTAGACTGTTTGGCACCAAGGTTGCTTGACTAGTTCGGACAGGGGCATCTATGATTTTGGTAAGAAATTTTGTCCTTAATTTTGCTTCATTCATAACTAGTTATTTGTGGCTATCGCAATCAACTAATAAGACTTTTATTTTTTGTTTCTAGACTTCTATGGCTAAGATTGGCTTAAAGTGGATTTACCTACTTCTCCTTTTTGGGAGAAAAAGGCGATAATGGTCATAAGTTTATAAAGGATGGCAATTCCTAATTCATAAATGGTTAACGGTTCCGTCTTTAAATCAAAACCAAAACCGATATCTTTGGTTGTCATGAGTTATTTCCCATTTATAAACTTTTCTTTTGCCATGATATTTAGTAGGCTCTAATCTCCATCCATTCAATTTTTCTAATATTTCCAAAACCAATTCATTCGTAATCCATTCTCGACCTAACTTTTGCTGATAGTGGTCGGTAATAGTAATCGCAATTATTTTACTCTTATTAAAAATAAGTGCCGACTCATAAGTTCATTGTTGTTCATCATCTACTTTGCTGAAATGCTTGCCAATTAACTTAAACGACCTTGGCATGTAAAGGAGATTTTTTTGGCTCTAAAATTACTTTTACTTGAATAGGGTCTAATAATTTGCTCGCATAAGCGACTAGTCTATCCAAGGTAAATTCCTCAATATGGCAAAACAAAATATCCTCGGTTTCGGCTTTGCTTATATCCATTTTTTCTGCCACTTGCTCGCGAGTTAATTTATTATCTTGTTTATAACCTAAAACCTCTTGACAAATTTCAAACTTGGCAACTTGGAGCGGAGTAGGATTTTCCGGTAAAGCATAATTTATTTCACTATTATTTTTTAGGTCTTCAATTTCTTGTAAGTATTCTTTGAATGGTTTTTTTTGGTTTTTAGTCATATATATGTTTTATCTTTACAACTTTAAATCTTTATTTCTTTATTGTAGGTGTGGGTAAAAATAACTATATGTCATAATTTACCAAATTATTCAGATGCTTCGCATGCCAACCCTAAATTTAAAGAATATTACTGTAAAAAAGTTAGAGGATATAAACTTTAATACTTATTATCTAATTGTCAATAATGATAATCAAGATGAAATTTGTTTTTGTTTTGAAAAAGCGATTAGGGAAGGATGAAAAGATTTAGTAAATAATTACGAAAGCCTTAGAGAAGTGGAAATAGAATTCGAGGAAAATGAAAATAATTATAAAACTTACCGGAAACTGGTTAGTTTATATACAGAAAAAGAGAGTGAAATTATTATTTAAAATAGGCAAAAAAGATAGCGGTATTTTTTGGTAGAATATCGAAAAAGGTTATCAAAAAAGCAAGGGTTGTTAATTTTCTAGTTAGACTTTACCCATTTTTTGATTAATTTTTTAAGTAAGAGGAGTTAAATCCGGTTTAATTAACTCTCGAAAGACTGGTCGCATATGCTTTCAATTTACTAATTCGACCATAAAAGGCAAGTCTGATTCTTCTAATTCTTCCCTAATTCGACTGATGACAGAAAGAGGTATCTCTTCTTGATAACAAATATCTAAGTCGGAAAACTTTCGGGCAGTTCCTTTTACTCGGGAACCATAAGCATAGAATTGGTAAGGATATTTACTTAGTATTTGCTGTAAAATTTGGTGGTCTTTTTCTTCTAGTTGGAGCATATTAGTTTTATTTTTGTTTAACTTGTAAATTTTTAATTAATTGGTCAAGTTCCTTAATAAAACTTGGTAAAAGGTTTAGTAGTTCGCGTAAAATCTCCTCTTGATAAGTATGAGTAGTTAAATTTCTTTGACTACCAAAATCGAACCATATTTGGGGATTATCCAAATAACCAAATTGAGCGGCTAAACGAAAAGTTTCGCGAGGACTACGAGCTTCTTTTCCCTCTTGACCCAAAAATCTTTGTAAAGTTTTTCAAACTAACTCATAACTAACTTCAAAGGCTTGGATGGCTCCCATTTGCCCCAATTCATCTAATTTCTCTTCTTCTAATTTAACTAGAGATTTTTCCAATAAATCTTTCATTCGAAAAAGGGGTTGAATATCTATTGAGTTCATTATTATTTTTTTAGTTGAATTATATTCTCACTACTTGTTAAAACCACTTAAAAAAAGTATTTTGCTACTGAGTTTTTCATTAGCGGGGATGGAAGAAGTAACAGAAAGCATTGTTTATAGTAAACCAAAGGGACTATTTAGGAGGAATTTCTATCTGAGACCCTTGAACCTCTTGAATTCTTAAACTATTTAATTTATTTTCTAATTCGGTAATTTTTGTCTGCTTCTCCAAAATTAACTCTAACTCTTTTTCACTAAGTTTTTCCTTCAAATTTTCTTTAGCCCTATTTAGTTGCTTTTTTACGAAAGAAATTTGTTCGGTTTCTTGACTAGCTTCACAATAAATATCTAATCATTCTTTCTCTTCCTTAGTCAGTTTATTTTTTAGTTCAACTAGTTCGTTTTTTTTGTTTTGAAAGTGGTTATCAAAAAAACCTTTGTAGAATAAGTGTTCTTTTTCCAAATTAATATTTTCTGTTTTTTCAACCTCTAACTTCTCTATCCTTTTTTTCAATTTTTTTATAGTTTCGGCGGTTTTTTCTCTCCCTATTTTTAATTCATTTTGCAATTGAACTACTTCTTGTTGCAAATTAGCATTATTTACTCTTTCAGTTAATAATTCTATCTCTAATTGTTGTGCCTTGGTTGATAATTCTATCAATTGACCGTCATTTAACTTCTTTTTATAATCCTTATAAAATTGACTGTTTTCAATAGATTGGCAAATTTCTTCTAAATTTTCCTTATTTTTTATCCCATCTATTAATCCTTTAAAAAATTGTTTAACTTCCTCCGTTGTATTACTAAAGGGATGCTCGATTAAAACAAAGTTAGCCCTACGACGATAAGCAAAATCTAATCATTTTTCATCTCCTCTTTCTTCTCCATAATAATTAGGCTTAACGCATAATCAATCAGGAGCTTTATCAACACTGGCTTTAAAGATAAAATTAGGATCTAATTTAAATCCTAAAAGGATAAACAATAAATCGCTATCATATGAAACTCTAACTCCTTTAATTTCACTGACTCTGGTATCAATTCTTCCAAAACTACCAATTTCGTTTGTTAACTTTCACTCCGATCCTTCAATTCCTCAAACATTTTCATAAACTTGTAAATTTCTTGTTTCTATTGTCAGTGTGTCTTCCTCTGCAAAAATTCCGCCAAATTTTACCTCTTTTATTTTAAATAATAGATACACCATAATAGTTATTTTAACAAACCAAAGAACAGATAGGCCTCAATAAAAACGAAAAATTTGCGAAAAGAAAGGAAAAAGGAATGACTAAATATGTATTGACAAGGTCCCATTCAATATGTTCCTACTTTTCAAAACCTAACCACCAAAGACACTAAAAAGGGCGAAAAAATTAGACCTAATAATTGTTGATTAGCCGATGCTTATGTAAAAACTAACTATTTGCCTTTGACCGAAGAAGGAGGAGAACTTTATTTTGAAAAAACTATCCGAGATTATTTAGTTTTCCTTATCTCTAATTTTCTTACTCATCATTTAAACCATCTCCTGATATTTTATCTCACAGGGTTAGTTCCGACTGCATTTTTTTATTTTTGGCTATTCTTTTATAAGCCGCTATTAATTTTTCTTTTAGTTCTCTTTCGACAGCTTTATTAACAAACTCGCTAACTTTTCTTTGAGTGATTAAAGACTTGATTTTGTTATAAGTTTCTTCGGAAAAATAGATATTTACATTATGTTCTCGCATAATGTATTATTTTAGATATTATATTGTTAGAGTTCTTTTATAGCAATTTAAAGTTCTAACTCCTTGTTTTTAAGGACTCATACAAAAAAACTAAACTATAAAGAATTATTGGTAGAGTAATATTATAAAAACAGGTTCATTTTTCTTCTTTCGTTTAACCCCTTTTCAATTAAGTATTCTTGTCTATTGATAAAGTATTTGTTCTCGGATAAAAAAATTTTTTACTTTGTAAACCTTTAAAAAATAGTTGGAATACTTAATGGCACGCTCGGGAGGATTTGAACCCCCGACCCTTTGATCCGAAGTCAAATGTTCTATCCAGACTGAACTACGAGCGTAGGGTTTATTATACCTATATATAACTTATTTTCGATAAAGGTAGTATAAATTAATTTTAATGTTCTTTATACTTATGAAACAAAAAAATATTTCTCCAAAGCATTACAAATAATAATTTAAACAATTCCTCTAAGTCACTAACAGCCGATTAAGTTTAATTTTGTGTCAAAAAAAGGTCATGAAATTAAAATTACTAATAAAAACTAAATTAAATAACTTTGAAATATTTTTCGCTTTTCCATTCTAGAGAAAAAAAACCTAATTGACACTGAATTTTAACCTATTTTAGTCAGATAAACATTTTTTTTTTGCTTAAATTTGGGTTCGACAAACTAAAAAATATTTATTATAAAATCTATGGTTAAAAAGTTGATTTTTCTGGAATCGGCTACTAAAAAAAAGACTATTGAATCATTTTTAGGAAGCAACTATGTAATATTTGCTACCAGCGGCCATTTATGAGAATTAAAAAAAACCGGTTTTTATAATTTGGGAGTAGACTTAACCAGTTTTACCCCCAGTTATGAGGTAATTCCGGAAAAACGAAAGTTCATTGAGTTTTGAAAAAAATATTTGGCAAAAGAAGAAATTTCTATAATTTACTTAGCTACCGACCCAGACCGCGAAGGGGAAGCGATAGCCCAAGAAACAGTTAAATTATTAGATTTAAAACCTTCGCAGTATCAGCGGCTCCTTTTTTACGAAATAACCCCTCGCAGTATTAAAGAAGCATTAAATAACCCTTTATCTATTAACGAAAATTTAGTAGCCGCCCAAACTTCCCGACAAGTTTTAGACCGCATGATTGGTTTTTGCCTTAGCACTATTCTCCAAAAAAAACTTTCCGCTTTATCGGCAGGGAGAGTTCAATCCGTAGTTTTAAAATTAATCACTAAACGAGAATTACTAATCAGAAATTACGAAAAGAAAAAGGACTATATTATTTGTGGTATCGGTCAAGTAAACCAACAAAAAATAACTCTCCGACAAGTAAATAATTTGGGTGAACTGATTGTTTATAAAACTAAACCAGAAGCAGAAGAGATAAAAAAGAAACTGAGTTTAACCTTTCAACTGATTGGTGAAAAAAAAGAGCAAAAATTAGCACTTCCTAAATCACCACTAATTACTTCTTTATTGCTTTTTGAGGCTAAATCTCAGTTAGGATTTTCGGTGGCTCAAACTACCCAAATAGCCCAAAAATTATATGAAGGGGTATGGGTAAGCAGCAGAAAAAAACAAATAGGGTTAATTACTTATCCCCGAACCGATTCTACTCGCATTAATCGAGAATTTGTCAATCAGGTCTACCAACATATCCAAGGAAAATGAGGAAAAGAGTATTGCAATTTTAATCCGGCTTGGAACAAAAAGGAACAGAAAAAAGTTAATATTCAAGACGCCCACGAAGCCATTCACCCTACTTATTTAGAATATTATCCCGAAGAAGTTAAAAGTTCTCTTTCTCTTGGAGAATACCAATTATACAAATTAATATTTAACCATACTTTGGCTAGTTTAATGAGTCCGGCTCAACTCACCAAAATTACTTTTAACTTTCTGAATAATGATTACTACCATTTTACTACTACGGAACGAATTTGTCAATTCGCCGGATTTTTGGCTTGTGCTCCGGAAATTTATTTGCCAAATTATAATATAAAATTAAAAAGTGATTTAGAAGGCCTTTCACAATTAATTGCTAAAAAAGTTGAAGTTCAAGAATATTTAGAAAACAAACCAGTTCGTTATAATGAAGGAAGTGTAGTTCAAGAATTAGAAAAATTAGGGATTGGTCGTCCTTCTACTTATAATACTTTTGGTAGAGTATTGTTGAAAAGAGGTTATGTAATTTTAAATGAAAAAGGGCAGTTTGTTCCTACCGAACTAGGATTTTCGGTTAATAATTGGCTTCAAGAAAACTTTTCTTCTCTAATTAATGAGGGTTATACTGCCTTGCTTGAAACAGAGTTAGACAAAATTAGCCAAGGACAAAATAACTATTATGATTTTGTCAAAAACTTTTGAGAAGGATTTTACCATTCTCTAAAAAAACTTACTTAACAAAAAAAGAAAGGATTTTCGGTTTTTTTTCAAAATGCCCTAGGAATAATGGTTTCTTTCGCTTATTTACTCTTCAAAATCTATATCTATAACTTTCAGATTTCAATACTGCAATATAAAAAATAAAAATTATAGTTTGTTTTTTTGAAATTTAAAATAGAAATAATAGGAGTTTCAAAGAATTAACCTAAAATAATTATATGTCTCTCGAAAGAACACTTTCTATTATTAAACCTGACGCTAGCAGAATGAACCTAATTGGTGAAATTATTAATATGTTAGAGAAAAAAGGATTAAAAATAATTGGAATGAAAATGGTTCGTTTAACTTCTCAGCACGCCGAAATTTTCTATCACGAACACCGTGAAAAATCTTTTTTTAAAGATATGGTAAATTTTATGTGTGGTTCGCCAGTAGTAGTTATGTGTTTAGAAGGAGAAAACGCCATAAAACTTAATCGAGAAATTATGGGAGCAACTAACCCCCACGAAGCGAAAGTGGGAACAATTAGAAAAATGTATGGAGAAAGCATTGATGCTAATGCTGTTCATGGTTCGGATAGTCCGCAGGCAGTTGAAAGAGAAATAAAATTATTTTTTAAGGAGGAAGAAATTTTTTCTCAGCGTTAAACTAGTATGGCAAAAAAAGTAAATATTTTTTATCCTATAAATATTGTATAATGCCTATAATAAAAGAGCCATTAATAACGCAATGTTTTCGTTGCAAACAAGTAATTGGGATTAAGTTTGTTCCACCATTGAAAACTTATAGTCATAAAAATAGTTGGGAATATTGAACCAAAGATAAAAAAATGGGAGGGCAAATATATCTGCGATAAATGTTTAAAAAATTTGTATTTAAATCGCAAGTCTGAATTTCTTAAAACTATCACTGACCTTAAAAGAAGGAGAGTTCTGAGAAATTACATTGCTGGCAATGTTATATAAATAAAATATTCTAAAAAAAAGATAAAAAAAAATTAATCTACTATTCAATAAAACATTTTAGTAAATATGAATAACATTCTGAATAATAGACAGAGGAGAAAAAAAAATTTACGGCTTTTTTTAGCCAATTGTGGTTGGCAAGAAATTATTACTTATTCGCTCATTTCGGAAGAAATGAAAATGAAGTTTGGAAAGCAAGAAAAAGAGTTTTTTCAGTTATTAATGCCTAAAAGTGAATACCACAAATATTACCGGTTGAAATTAGTTCCCAGTCATTTAAAAACCATAAACTATAATCTTGCCCATGGTAATAAAAATCTCTTTTTTTTTGAAATTAGTTCAGTTGCTAGTCCTACCGGTCAAGAAGAGTTGCTTATTTTGAGTGGAACTGGTAAAATAATTAATCAACCACTTCACCAACTAATTCAAGAGTTAGATTTTTATGGAATAAAAGGGGTGTTAGAAAATATTTTCCAACTTTGACAAATTGAAGCAGAAATTTCCTTTCTTCCCCTTTCAGTCAATTATTTAGATTCCTCTCATAGTGCCGAAATCCGGCTCCGAAAAGAAAAAGTAGGTTTTGTGGGTCGCCTTTGTCCCAAAATAGTTCAAAATTATCAAATAAACCAACCGGTATTAGTTGCCCAACTTTCTCTCAGCAAAATATTTGACTATCTTGCTAACTTCGCACCTCAAACAGTTTATCGGCCAGTTGCTAGTTTCCCGACTAGTGAAAAGGATTTATCCTTTATCTTTCCTAAAAATGCTGACTATAACGAAATTATTTGTGAAATCAAAAATATTGGAGGGGGAAACTTACAAGAAGTAAATTTATTTGATACTTATCGGAGTGATGAAATGGTAAAAGCGGGGCAAAAATCAATGACTTTTCGTTTAACTTTCCAAAGTTTACTTGGGACATTAAAAAACCAAGAAATAGAAAAGATTACCAATTCGGTTCGGGAAAGAATAGAAAGAATATTTGCTGCTAAATTAAGAGATTAATTTTCGTGCTTTTCCTCTCTGCCTTTTACTACTAAACTCAGAATAGCCATGGTTAGACCGCCAATAAGGGTGATTATTCTTAGCGGAATTTTTCAGAAAGATTCTTGGTTAATATTAGAATTATTTTTTTCTCTTCGGTCTCTTTCTTCTTTTTCACGGATAGTTTTTTTATTTTCTCCACTTTTTCTCTAATTTTGAAAATTAATTTAGTATTACAGTGTGCAAATTAAATGTCTGTGTTTGAAAGCAAGATTATCAGCAAATATTAACTAGGTTAATATCTTTTTGTTTTTAATAATGAAAAAGCGGAAAATAATTATTCACATGGTAGTAACGGTTTTGTCGATAAAGTAACTAATGATTTAATGACTGACATTAATTATTGGTAGAGTAATATACAATATGCGAAATTAGGGTCAGAGTTATTTTCTCCAAACTTTTTGTTTTCAAGAGATTTAAGTTTTAAATTACTGGCATTTAATTCTAATAGGGTAATAAACTAACGGAATGAAATTTAAAAGAATATAAAAAAATTAGTAGATAACTAAAAATGACTTATATTCTTTTGCCGAAAGTAGCAAAATAATTTTATCTACTAATTTTTTTAGCATTAGAAAAATTTGCTAAAATCCTTTTTTATGCTAAAAAATCCTTGGTTTCCAAACCAAATAAATAAGGATTTTAGAGCCGTTATTGACTGCTAAAAGAAATATCTAAAAAACCAGAATAACGGCACCCGAGATTTAAAAACAATTTCAGAATACTCAAAGTAATTAAAACAAATCAAGACCGTTTTTTCCGACTTTTTGCCACTAAGACCGAATTTAGCAAAAAAATAACTAAATGGTGGTTAAAAAACAGTTGTGGCAAACTCCTTTGGAGGAAGTGTTATTCTTCCTCCTCTGCTTCTTCGCTACTATTATTTTTCATGAATCAGACAATACCACCTAAAACAAGAGCCGCAATCAGAATAATAGTTATAATTCCGGGGGCGGTAGTTCATCAGTTAGGTTCATCGGGTTTCTTTTCGGTTTTATTTTGGGCTTGTTCCATAGCACTAACCCTCTCACCTATATTTTTAACTAAATCAGTAATAAGCGTTTTTTCTGTGGGTTCTAAGCCATCAAAAACCGTTTTGGTTTTTCCACTTCCCTCCGAGTAGTCTTTTAATTGCTTTAATTTTTCTTGGAGTTTTTTTAATTGGGTTTCGCTTGTATTATCACTATAATCTTTATCAGTTTCTAAGGAAACTGTTTTGTAAAATTCTTCTATTAATTGACCTAATTTTTTTTCTTCTTGGGAAGCGTTTGGTTTTTTTTCCAACTTAACCGCTAATTTTTTTCGTGGGAAAATTATATTTTCAAAACTTTTTTTTGTCTCACCATCAACTGTTCTGCTTTTAAAGGCTTGCTCTTTTTCCTCCACTTTTTCGATAGTGTCGGCTTGGTCTAATCCAATTTCATTAATAATCGCTTCTATCCCTTCCTGTAAATTCAACTGGGCTAAAATTTTTTCTGGATAACCTTGCGTATCTCCTGCTTTCTTTACTTTATTCGCTGCTGACCAAGCCTTAGTGTTTTTGTTGCGTAAGTTGATTAGTGTATTACAAATTGTACTGGCTTCTGGATCACTTTTTTGTTTACCTTCTCCTTTGGCAGCCTCTTCCAAAATTTGAGCGGCTTTATCAATTTCACTAGTGTTAATGTCTTTAATTACCTCTTCAAAAACAGCATTATCGTCTTTTCCAAGCACAATTTTAATGGCTGCTTTTAATCTGGTTTTTTCTTTTTGGTTATCTCCTCCGGCGGTTTCTCAAATAGCAGTAGCCCAACCTTCATTATTCTCCTTAATTTCTTGTTCAATCCATTTTCAAACTTTTCCTTGGGTATTGGGAGAAGTTTTGGCGGCTTCATCTTTGAATGGATTTAATTCATTTTTTTTAACTCCGCTTTTACTTAAAAGTTCAACCAATTTTTTTAATTCGTTAAAAAACTCTTGGGTTCGGTTGGTATCACTGGCAGGGAGGGCTTTAAACTTATCATAGGCAGATTTGGCTTTGGTATTATTGGCAGTGGTAGCCGCAGCAATCGCATTATCAATGTGCGTATCTAAACTTATAACTCCATCAATTTCATCTATTTTTTGTTGAATTTGTTTGGCTAGCCCAGTAAACTTTGGCTTCCCGTTAGTTCCCTCTTTATAGTTAGTCAGTTCGGTTTTTTTAGTATCTTTTTCGGTTTGGTTTATCCCAGTCGGGTTAAAATTTAATAACTCTAAAACTTTTTTAGTTTCTTCATATGGTTTATCAATACTATCTTTATCTGCTTGGTCTGTTAGAGAAGAATAACCACAAGCAGTTTTAAGTTGAAAATAATAAAGTTCTAATAATTCTTCGCGGGAATAAGTTTCTTCAAAGTTAGCATTATAAAAGGCTTGGTTAACCGCCGCTTTTCTTTTTTCCCCTTCTGTGCTGTCTGCTCCATAGTAAGTATAAGCATCATGAATAGCAAAGAAATTTCTAGTTGGTAACAATTCTATTGTGCTATTATCTGATTTTGTTACTGTAATTTTCTCGTCTAATCTCTCACCATGATTACCACTAACACTACCATCCTTTTTCACTATTATACATTTAGGTTTGTTTGAATCACTACTATCCCTTCAAAATTCACCTACTTTAAAACCATAACACTCATTTTTTTCAGGGTCAGGATACTTACCGTCTTTTTTTGGAAAAATTTGCCGAAAAACTTCGATATCTTCTTTACTAATATAATCAGAGGGAGAGGCGGCTCGACCCACTAAACAAAGTTCTGGATTAGCACTAACATCATTTTCTATATCATTATTCGAATTATCACTTTTTCCAACCACTTGTTTATCCTCAAAAATTTTAATTCCGCGGTATTTTCCCCCTATAATGGTATGCTCCTCGTTGGCTGGGTTAAATAAATAAGCCAAATTCGCATTTCCTTCGGTGGTATCGGGGTCTAAATTGTCGAGTGATTTAGCATTATCAGTTAGGTTCCCCCCATTATCCCTTTCACCGATAGTAATTACTGAATCATTGGCATGAATTCGTCGGGAGATAATAAAACCATTCGCATTAGCCTTCAAAACCTCCTCGGCACTTCCTAACCCCATTTTTTTTCAAGCATCCATTTCCTGAGCAAAATCTAAATAATAATCAACTATATTTTTAACAGCGTTAGTATCTTTAAAAGTAGAGGTAAAATTAAATTTATCTCCATTTTCGTCAGTTTTTAATTCGTAAAAGTGTTTTTTAGATTTAAAATTTTTAGCTTTAGTAATGTAATCAGTTAAATTTCCTGAAATTTTTTTATTTGCTTCAAAATATTCAATCAATTCATCCTTTAAATGACTAATATCTTCTTTATCCTCCCCCACTTCCCCATCCTTATAATTATTAATATTTACTATTTTTCGGACTTTAAATTCAGCAAAATCGTCGGGGGTTAAAATTAAAGTGTCTCCATCTTCATTTATATTATATTTATTATCGGCTGGAACCTCAACCGTCAAGGTAATCCAATTCTCCACCGTTGTTATTCCTCGCTTAGTGACATTATCATATTGGAAAGGAACCTCCGCTCGGTTTTTAGTCGCCGATTTTTTTAAACTAAACAGCAGAGCCATTAAAGAAGTTTCATCACTGAGTTCCGCCAGTTTAGAACTAACATCTATCACAATCTGAGTAATTGTGGTTCCAACTTCGACTTCTTGGTTATCTCTACTATTAATAAATTCTGCTTGGGGAAGTGCTGTTCCATCCTCTTTATATAAAAGAATTTCATCCTCTACCTCGATAAGAATTGTTCCCGCTTCTCTTTCGTAAGTATATTTATTTAATTTAAATTTTACGTTTATAGTTGCCATATTATTTTATATTTATTATTTTACTATTTTTATTCTATTTAGTATCTGATTTATTATTAGAAATTAGCGATAGCCTTTCAAGTTAGAAAACTTAAAAAATGAAAGGAATAAAGAAAATTTTAACTATCATTAATTTTTGGTAGAGTAATATATTATTATTTTCAAATTCCTTTCATTTTAAATCTATTTTACAAAAAAAAAAAAAAAAAAACAGTGGGGGGGTTTTTTTATGTCGTTGACCCTAATTATTACAATATGCGAAATTAGTGTCAGAGTTATTTTCTTCAAAATCTTTGTTTTTAAGGTATTTAAGTTTTAAATTACTGGCATTTAATTCAATAGGGTAATAGTTGAGAAATTTTTGCCTTATCATTAGTATATTAAGTTATATTAAATTAAACTAAAAATTAAATATATGGAAAACAACTGAGAAACAATTAAGCAAAAGAAAACTGAACGGCTCGAAAAGGAAGTAAAAGTTTTTACCGCTAAATTAGAGAAAATTCGCACTAATCGAATTAATTTAGAACTAATTCGGGGTCTAATGGTTAATTGTCCGGGAGAGAGAAGACCGCTAAAAGCAATTAGCAATTTACGAGTTTCGGCTAACCACGAGTTAGTTATCCATGCTTTTGAACCCAAATTGCTCCCCCCTATTATTAATGCCCTTAACCAGTTAGGAGGATACAAGTTGGAAAGAAGTACCTCCGATGAAGCCTATTTTTCCTTGTTGTTAATGACCCGAGAAACCAAAGATAAATTTATCCGCGAAGTCAAAGTGATTGGAGTAGAAGCCAAAGTCGCCTTAAATCTGGTGCGACAAGAAATTCGAGATTTAGTGAAAAAAAATAAAGAATTTTCCCAAGACCAAAAACGAAATTATGAAAACCAAATTGACAAAATAACTAAAATTTATCAAGACAAAATTAATGCTGCCGAAGAAAAAAAAATCCAAGAATTAAATCTATAATAATAATGAATAATATTGAAATAGAAAAAAAAACTTTTCCCAAAAAAGGGGTGCCAAAAGCCGAAGCGGATGAAAATTCACCTCGAAATGACGATACCTTACTTTACATATTTTTGGCTCTGTTGACAGTCTGCTTAATCGCCTTGGGGGTAGTTTGGTATTATAACTGAAAAGAAACCCAAAGACAGAAAGAATTAGAACTTGAACCGACCCCGGAAGATTATCGAAGTTGAAATAAAAATTATCGTGATGCCCGAGATTTACTTAGATTAAAGGAGACTAACGAGAGAAAAAAAGGATTCTGTCAAAGAAGGTTAAACAAGAACTTTAACCCGGAATTGAGTTCAAAAGACAAAACGCGAATCCAAAAAGCCTTAGATAAATTAAATGATACTTTGAACCCTATTGAATACGCAATAAGGTTGTCAAAAATTAATCAAAAATTAACTTCAAAAAAATGAAAGCAAAAGCAATTAGAACACCAAGAACAATTTAAAAAAACCATTTTTCCCCAAACCGAAGCAGAAGCCAAAGCCAAATTAGATGAAACAATTAAATTTTTTTTCAATCACTGTTATCAAACCCTTTCCACCCGCGACAGGGAGAAAAATACCTGAAAAGGCTTTACCATTTACTTTCTGGAAGGAAAAGAATATGCTAATGCAAATATAGAAGCAATCCCGCCCGAAGTATATTCCAAAGTCCAAACTATTTTCGCTCCCCAAGTTGGTGGAAAATTTCCGCAACCTTACTTCGAAGGTTTTGCAGGCTTTCTACAAGAAAAAGACCAAAAAAAGAAAGAAGAAGATGAAGGAAAAACCACTTTGGGTTTAACTAGTTGTGGAGATGATGAAAATAGTTATCGAGTTTTAGAAAGTGGAATAAAAATTACAGATAGAAAAACTTATGATTTTAACACTTATCCAAAGCCCGATCGAGAGTTAGAGATAAAAAAAGTTGAAGTTCCGTTAAATAGAATTCTAGGTGATACAAATTGTATTTGAACCCGAAGTCGCTTTATTAACATTAAATTAGAAAAAAGATTTTTATTTGGACGCGAAAATGAGGAATACATTGAATGAAACGAAGAAAAAACAAAAGATGGCGAATCTATAACCATGATTACTGATATCAGTTGAGAAAATTTCCGTGAAACTATTGCCCACGAATTGGCTCATGCCGTGTTGGATAAAATGATGGGGAGTTATGACCAGTGAGAAGAAATAGAAAACCCCGGTCTGGGAGACAGAAAAGGACACGGACCGGTTCATAGCCAATATACCAAAGAAATTGAAGCCGAAATGATAAATCATCCTCAATGAAAAGAATTTGAAAAATGATATAAAGCAAAATGAAATTAAACCCAAAAATTAATGTTGCTATTGATGGTCCAGCCGGCTCGGGCAAAACTACCATTGGTAAATTATTAGCCCAAAAATTAAACTATCAGTTTCTCGATAGCGGTTTATTGTTTCGTCATTTTGCTTGGTTTTGTCAAAAAAATAACCTCTCTGTTGTCGCCGCCAGCGACCAAAAAACCCTTCTCGGTTGACAAAAAGAAATCGAAAAGGGAGCAGAGTTAATTGCCGATTTAGAAAAAAAGGGCGAAATGCTTGGTGCGTCTGAAATTAGCGAATTGGCTTCTCAATTATCCCCCCTCCCGGAATTACGAAAAATTATTTTAGATTTTCAAAGAAAATCCACCCACAATAAAGGTTGAGTAGTAGTAGGTCGGGATATAACTTCCACTGTTTTACCCCATGCCGAAATTAAAATTTTTCTCACTGCTAGTTTAGCCGAAAGAATTAAAAGAAGACACCGCCAACTCTCCGGTGAAGAATTAGAAAAAATTAAACAAGAATTACAAACCAGAGATGAACGAGACCGACAAAGAAAACTTTCTCCGCTCCAAAAAACTTCCGATAGTTGAGAATTAGATACCACCCATTTATCTCCGAGCGAAAGCGTGGAAAAAATATTATCTTATCTAGCCCAAAAAAATTAATCTTCGCCAATAAAAAGTTAAAAAATATTAGATATGTCGTCAAAAAAAGAAACCAAAACCGAAAAAAATGATTTTGTCTCCCCCGAAATTAAAAAAATTATCGAAAATATCACTAAGGAATATGGTGAAGGCACTATCACCACTTTGGGAAAAAGTAAATTAAAAGACCAAAAAATTTTGTCGACTGGTAGCCTTCTGCTCGACCAAGCAATTGGAACCGGTGGTTATGTTTGCGGAAAAATTGTAGAAATATATGGTTTAGAATCAAGCGGAAAAAGCACTTTGGCCTTACATGCTGTAAAAGAATGTCAAAAATCACAAAAAAAAGCGGTTTATATTGACTTGGAAAATGGTTTAAATTTCAAATACGTGCAAAATATTGGAATAGATAAAGAAAATTTAATGATTTTGTATCCTACTAGTGCGGTGAAAACTTTTTTAATGATTAGAGACTTAATTAGAGAAGGAATTGATTTGATAGTAATAGACTCCGTTTCTAATTTGTCCCCCCAAGTAGAGGATTTAGAAAAATACAAAATTGGTTCACATGCTTTATTAATGTCGCAAGGACTAAAAATATTGAAAAGTGAATTAATTAACAAAGAAACCATTATCATTTTTATTAACCAAGTTCGAAACAAAATTTCCACCGGTTATTATGGTGGTAATCCGGAAACGACTACCGGCGGAATGGCTTTAAGATTTGATGCTGATTTACGAATTAAACTAAAAAGAAAAGGCAAAATTGAAAAAAATGAAAAATTGATTGGTATCGAAGTAGAAGCATTAATAAAAAAAAGCAAGATAGGAGAACCCGAAAAAATTGCTAATTTAGAAGTAATTTTCGCCAAAGGTATTCAAAAAGAGCGAGAAATTATTGACCTTGCTACCGAGTTAAATATTATTCAAAAGAGCGGAACCTGGTATTCTTATGCCGAAAAAAAATTAGGCCAGGGGAAAGAAAATGTTACCGAATATTTATTAGAAAATCCGGAACTATACCAAGAAATTGAAAGAAATACCCTTGAAACCATCAATAGTAATAATTCAGCCTAACCATTTATTTCGGAAAGAAAAAGAAAATTTTTGGCACTAAAAATTAAATTATGCTTTGTAATATATGCTTAAATGAAATTGAAAAAAATAAGGAAGTGAAAGTAGAGGAGCATGCTTATCCTCAATTAGTTAGAGTGGCTCAATCCTATTTAGAAATTACTAGTGATAATTCTAAATCTCATTGTCGTGGTTATAGCGGTTATCTTTGTAAAAATTGTTATGAAGAACTTTTAATGCTAAAAAAATTGCGGTGAGTAGAAAATTTCAAAAAAGCGAAGGAAAAGAAAAATATTTAAGGATTAAAAAGCGGAGTTTTTTTTGAAATATTCGGTATATCTAAACAAGGAAAGAAATATTTCAAGCAAGAACTTAAAAAGTTGAAAAAAATTGTATTACAATGCCAATAATTCTTCATAGTTTAATTTTTGCTCCAAACCTTTGAAAATAAGGAATTAGGACTTTGAATTACTATAAAAACTCTAACAATAGTTAATGATAGTTAAAATTTTCTCTAATTCCTTGATTAATTAAAAAACTATCACTAATTTCTAATAATGTAATATAAAAAATCTCTAACAATATAATAGTTAATTAAAAAGTTAAGTAATAAAATTAAACCAAAAAATTTTTATGGAAAAAAAGAGAGCCATAATTCTGGCTATTGAAACTAGTTGCGATGAAACCAGTATCGCCATTTTAGCAAACAAAAAAGTGCTTAGTAATATCACTATTTCCCAGATATTAGAACAACAAAAATACGGCGGAGTAATGCCGAGTTTGGCGGCTAAATTACACCTTAAAAACATTCAAAAAGTTCTTATCCAATCCCTCTCCGAAGCCAAAATATCTCCCTCTAATCTTAATTATATTACTTATACCGAAAAACCAGGATTAATTATTTGCTTACAAATCGGCAAAATAGTAGCCGAAACCCTTTCACTTTATCTAAACAAGCCTCTTTTTCCGGCTAACCATTTAGTAGGACATATTTATGCTAGTTTATTAGAGAATGAAAATGAATGAGAATTTCCAGCTTTGGCCTTAATTATTAGCGGCGGTCACACCCAAATTTATCAATTGAATAGTCATTTCGATTTTATTCTTTTAGGCCAAACCCTTGATGATGCGATTGGTGAATGTTTAGACAAATCAGCAATTTTGCTGGGCTATAACTATCCCGGAGGACCGATTATTGAAAAACTAGCCTTAAAAGGCGAAAATGCTTATAAATTGCCTTTCCCCAAAAACGATAAAAGTTTAGATTTTAGTTTCAGCGGTCTAAAAAGTGGAGTTTCCCGCCTAGTAAATAGAGAAAAGGAAAATTTGAAAGTTGACAATTTAGCCTGCTCTTTACAAAATACTTTGGCGGAAATACTAACTAAAAAATTAAAAAAGGCTTGATTAAACACTCATGCTAAAACTATTATAATTGGAGGCGGAGTAATTGCTAATAATTTTTTTAGAACTTATTTAACTGAAAACATTAGAAGTTGAGACCAAAAAATAAAAATATTTATCCCTAAAATTAAATACTCCACCGATAATGCTGCTATGATTGGGGTAACGGCCTACTATAAATTGTATAATTAATAAGTATAAACCCATTTAACAAAAAATTTTTTTTAGTTTAACCATGAAACTCTCCCTCTTTAATTCTCTTAAAAACCAAATTACCGAACTAGAACTCCAACCGAACCAAACTATCAAAATTTATCTGTGTGGTCCGACTGTCTACGACCATATTCATATTGGTAATTTGCGTTCAGTGATTATTTTTGATGTTCTGCATCGTCTCCTGTTATGCTTAAAGGTTAAAGTTAATTACATTCAAAATATTACTGACATTGATGATAAAATAATTACCAAGGCTCAAAAAGAAAAAAAAAGCGAAAAAGAAATTGGTGATTTTTATGCTCGTTCTTATTATGCTAATTTAGTTCGTTATAATATTCTTTTTCCCACCCATTCTCCATGAGTAACTAATTATATTCCTCAACTTCAAACCTTTATTAAAAAATTGTTGGAAAAAGGTTTCGCTTACCAACTAGCCGGAGAAATTTTTTTCGGAGTTAAAAAAAGCAAAGAGTATGGTCGGCTTTCGGGACAAAAACTAGAAAAGTTAAAAAGCGGGCAAGAATTAGCCTCCGAAAATAAAAAAGACAATAAGGATTTTGTGCTTTGAAAAAAAACCACGGAGGGGATTAGATGAGACTCGCCTTGGGGAGTCGGCCGACCAGGCTGACATACTGAATGTGCGGTGTTTATTCAGGAATTTTTTGCTGGTCAAACCATTGATATTCACGGAGGCGGTAATGATTTACTATTTCCCCACCACGAAAACGAAAGAATACAGTATTTAGCCCACAATAATAAGGAATTAAGTAATATTTGATTCCATGTCGCTCATCTTCACTGAAAAAGTGAAAAAATGTCAAAATCAGTCGGCAATGTTATTTTAGCCGAAAATTTTTCCCAAAAATATGACCCTAATGTTTTACGTTATTTAATTTTAAATAGTCATTATAACCAAGTAATTAACCTAAGCGAAGAATTAATTCAACAAGCGGTTGATTATACTCAAAAAATTAAAAATCTGCTGAAAAAACTAAATTTTTACTTATATACCGAGAAAATAAAAATTACTCCGCCAGAAACTCCCCCAAAAAAAGAAATAATTGATAGTTTACTGAATAATCTTAATAGTGTTAAACTCCTTTATTTTTTAGAAGAAATAATTACCTTTCTTAACAAATACATTGACCGGAGAGAAACAAATAATTCTAATTTTCTAGAAACAGTTAACAATTTTTATTTTATTCTCCATATATTAGGATTTAAGTTCAACCTCCTTTCCTATGATTCAGAAACCAAACTATTGATTGAAAAATGGCAAGAATTACGGAAAAAAGGGAATTATAACCACGCTGACGAGATTAGGAAACAATTACAAGAAAAAGGAATTTTATAATATCGGTAAAATATTTTTGTAAGTTGATTTATTGCCTAAAATCTTACTCATAAAGGAATCAAAAGTTTAAATTACTGACTTTGTAATATCAACAAAAACTATTTTTTTACTTTTTTTGGTCTAAACTCTTATTTAATGAAAAGAATTGATACCTATTTTGTTTTGTAATGCATATTTTACGCCCTAAAATTTAAGGGTATTCTTTTTGTCAAAATGAGATAACCAACCCCCACTTAACATTTATAAAAATTATTCGCTATTACTTTCCTCCTGGGTTTCATTTCCCCAAATCCTTTTTCAACTTTTGCTTTCCTTAATGCTTTTTCAAGAAAAATAGGAATAAAGCAAAGCATACATAATACTAATAATTAGAAAAAAAATGGTTAAGGGTTTACAACGTTCTCCCGCTGGAACAAAATTAAAATAACTACCTATTACAATAAAAGGCATAGCTAATCCAGCCACGATAACAAAAAATATTTCTAGCAAATCACCTATTTTCATAACTTTTTTTATAATTTGAATGTTTTTTTTCAGGAAACACTTAATTATATTTTAGGCATAAAATTATCTTAATTACAGAAAATAATAAATGAATAAAGAACTAACTTTTTATATCAGCCATCACAAACAAACCAATGAATTTATTCTCCAAGAGGGAAATTTAATTTCTTTGAAAATTCCTCAGGCGTGGCAAAAACCGGACCCGGATACTAAAACTCCCGCTTTATGAGCTTGCCATTTACCGAATAATTCGCTAGGGATAAACTTTATTAGTCTATATCCCACTGAATTAGTGATTAAAAAAGCCGGTCGGACATATAAAGGAGACCTCGAACCGAATGGAGAAAACGAAAAAGAAAAATTTTTTCGCTGTCGGCTAAAATTACAAGAGGAGAGAAATACCAATAATGATAGCGGCGTAGTAATATTATTATTCTTTATATTGTTAATAGTGATAATAATTACAGTGGGAGTAATTATGACAAAATCGGAAGTTTAAAAAGATATTTTAAGGAATAATTGACTTACAAAAATAATAAATTTTATTAACTTTAATGCCGAAATTTTTCTCCAAAAAGCACTTAATTTGATTTTTGGTTATTATCTTATTGATAGTAGGCGGAATAATCTTAATTTTTTCTGGTTCACCTAAATCCGACCAACCCCAACTGCTAGAAACGATAATTATTGAACCCACCCAAAAACATTCTGCTACTGTAATTTTCCTCCATGGATTAGGGAATGACGCCACCAGACAAAAAAACGAACTGGAACCAATTGCCAAAAACTATCCGCAAGTTAAATTCATTTTTCCCAAAGCCCCTACCATTCCAGTAAGTATGAATTGGGGTCGAAGAATGCCGGCGTGATATAATATCAAAGGCAACCCACGCGATATTAAAAATTTAAAGCAGGATAAAGAAGGTTTGCGAAAATCAGTTAAACAAATTGAAAAAATTATTCGCCAGGAAATCGATTGCGGCATCTCTCCCCAAAAAATTATGGTTATGGGTCATTCCCAAGGTGGTTCAGTAGCGTTAACAATGGGCTTGCTTACTGAATACAAATTAGCCGGAATTGTTTGTCTCAGTGGTTTTCTTCCTTGTCGGGAAGAAATATTTAACTGAGCCAAAGCGGAGAATAAAGCAATACCTTTTTGAATCTATCATAATTACTATGACAAAGTTGTTCCGTGCTGAGTGGGAAAAGAATCAATGAGATTGCTCAAAGAAAAAGGTTATCAAGTCGATTTTTCAGAACGAATAAGCAGCGGACATTTTTTTACTCCGGCCGAACTGGAAAAAATAATTACCGAAACACTAAGCCAAGCAAGATTTTAAATTTAGTTTTTGAGCGTTTTTATCAAAGCACCTTGTTTTACTAACCAAAAGGAATATTTTTAAAAATACCTCGCTCTAATTTTTGTTTAACCTTCTAGCAGAAAGGTAAAATTAAATTAACATGAAAATCTTAGCAATTGGCGATATATTTGGCAAAACTGGTCGGGAAGTTATTAAAAATTATCTTTCGCAGTTAAAAAAGGAAGAAGAAATTGACTTAATCGTTGCTAATGTAGAAAATACTACTCACGGCAAAGGTATTTCGTTTAACCACTATAAAGAATTGAAAAAGTATGGTATTGATATTATGACTTCTGGAAATCACGTATTTTACTTAGAAGAAACTCAAAAAGATATGGATAAGTTTGTGGACTTACTAAGGCCGCTTAATTCTAACCCTTCCCACCCCGGCAAAGGAACCATTTGTATCGAGTTTAAAAATAAAAAAATCCGAATTACCAACCTAATAGGAACTACTTTTATGCCAATGGCGGCTGAAAATCCCTACTTCGTTTTGGAAAAAATAATAAATTTGCGGGATTATGATTTACACTTAATCGATTTCCATGCCGAAGCCACGGCTGAAAAAATTGCTTTGGCATGACATTTTGACGGAAAAATTAGTGCCTTATGAGGAACCCACACTCACGTCCAAACGGCAGACGAAAGGATTTTGTCCAAAGGAACCGGATTTATTACTGATTTAGGAATGACTGGACCTCATGGAGGAATTATCGGTGCCAAACCAGAAGCGATTATTAGACGAGTTAAAAGAGGATTACCAGCAAAAATGGAACCTCATGAGGACCGGGGGCAATTTAACGGAGTTGTTTTTGAATTTGACGATATTAGCAACCGAGTAATTAGCATTAAAAGAATTAGTAAGATATTTTAGCGGGCTTTCTTTTCCCTAATCAATAAAAAAGAAAAAAAATCCAAAGTTATGAAAAATTATTTCATAGCATTTAGCCTAAACTTCTCTATAATTTTCTTAATTTTTAAACTTTTTTGGCGGAGATAGAGGGATTTGAACCCCCGCGGATTTTACTCCCTAACAGTTTTCGAAACTGTCCCCTTCAACCACTTGGGTATATCTCCATATACTGAATAGGTTTCTTTTTAATTCATTTTAGTCTTTCTATATACCCTAAAAGTATATGTCAGAAACTATTAAATTAAAAATAGGAGACAAATTTAACCGAACTAATAATTGTAAAATAATAATAAAACTTACTATTAGAATTATGGTTAGAAAAAAATTATTCCCTATTCACCCCGGAGAAATATTAAGAGAAGAATTATTAATTCCTTTAAATATTAGTCCCGAGGAATTGGCCCAAGCAATAAAAGTTCCCAAAGAGCAAGTTAAATGAATATGTGAAGAGAGAGGGGACATTACCCCTGATTTGGCTGCTCGTTTAGCTCTTTATTTTAATTCCACTCCTCAATTTTGAATGAATATGCAAAAGAGTTATGAAGAAAAATTATTATCGGACAAAATAGAAAAGTTAAAAAAACAAATTCACCCTTATAAAAATGGAGAAAAAAGAGTCGAAAACAAAGTTTTATAAAAGATTTAAAAATCAAGAATTAGAAGAGTTAACTAATGAATTAGAACTATCTCCTAAATCCTCTTACAAAAATATTGAAAAATTGCTCCGAAAGAAATTAAAAATCTTGCTAGATGCTGAAAAATGGCAGGATTTACAGTGTTTTCCGAATAATAATCCCGAAAAGTTAAGGGGTAGTAAAATAAAAAATCAGTGTAGTCTTAAAGTTAATCAACAATATCGGCTTATTTTTATTTGGCAGAATAATAAGGCTTGGGAAATTGAGATTAATAAGCATGATAAAAGTTATGGGAAATAGCAATCCTAATCAAAATCATTAGGATTTTCAACATCTCCTGCTCTAAGGTATATATGTCAGACAGAGTTTTATATCTCGCTTCTATATACTAAATTGGTTTCTTTTTAATTCATTTTTAGCCTATATACAATAAACATATGACAGAAAAAAGAATTAAAATAATATTAAATAAGGTAATAATAAAATGAGAAAAAAGCAAGTAATTAAAAGACATTCTATTAAACCGGATGAAAAGTTCAATTCAAATGTTGTGACTCAGTTAATTAATAAAGTAATGCGAAGGGGAGAAAAACGAATAGCGATGCGAATAGTTTATCAAGCCGCTCAAATAGTTGAAAAAAACACCGCTTCGCCTTTTTTGAGTGTTTTGGAAAAATCGGTGATGAATGTCAAACCTAGTTTAGAAACCAAAAGTCGCAAATTTGGAGGTTCTAATCGTCGTATTCCGGTAAAAGTTGAGGAAAGACGAGCCTTAACCTTGGCTTTGCGCTGAATAGTAGAAAGTGCCAAAGAAAATAAAGAATCTAAACCAATGTTCGAAAAATTAGCGGAAGAAATTAAAAACGCTTACAATAAAACTGGCGGAGCTTTCAAAAAGAAAGAAACTATCCACAAGGAAGCCATGGGTAATATGGAATTCGCTCCTGCTTCTTTTAATCGCTAGTTAAAAATTGAAATTTTTTCGGTGCTAACTTTGGTTTTTTGAGTTGGTTAAATAATCATTAATTCATTCCGTTGCCTTTTCTTTTTCGACCAAAAAATCTTGCCGTTTCTGACAATCTTTGAGGATAATTTTTTTATTTTTTAGTTCTTGTTCTCCCACCACCATTAAAATTTTCGGCTGATAATACTCGATAATTTTGGGAAGAGATTTAATTTTTTTAACTTCGGGATTGTATTCTACTTTCCACCAATACTTTTCTAATTTATCTTTTCAAGTTAAGATAGTGGAATAAACTTCGGGGCTAATAACCAAAAAAAAAATGTCAATTTGTTCGCTAACCTTTAATAGTTGCGAACTCTCTAAATAATTTATCAATCTTTCAATCCCTATTGCAAATCCAATAGCGGGCAAATTAATATTCCCTATTTCTTGATAAAGTTCATTATAGCGACCTCCACCTAATAAAGCCTTTTCTTTTTCTAAATTAACTTCAAAGACTAAACCGGTATAATAATCTAAACCTCTTACCAAATGGCAGTCATAGCGATAGGGGATATTAAACTGATTTAAAATTTGCTCAAAATGCTTTACATATTCAACAATATTTTTATCTCAAATGTCTTTATAACAAGGATAACTGTATTTATTTTTACATGATGAACAATCAATTATTCTTAAAGGGTTAGTTTGATATCTTTTTTGACAATCACTACACAAATCAAGGCTATTTTTCTCAATAAAATTTTTTAGTTCATTTTTATATTTTTGTTTGGTCTCACTATCTCCCAAATAATTTAAGTTAAAAATAAAATTTTTAATTCCCAAACCACCTAAAATATCAAAAACTAATTTTAATATTTGATAATCACTGATAACTCCTTCGGCATTAATTAACTCTACTCCCAGTTGCCAAAATTCGCGGTATCGCCCTTTTTGGGGTCGTTCATAACGGAACATATTGGCCCAATAATATAACTTCAAAGGATAATTTTCTTTAACTAATTTATTTTGACAAACTAAACGCACTGTGCTAGCAGTCCCCTCCGGTCTTAATGCCAATTCACGTCCTTTCCTATCCTCAAAAGTATACATTTCCTTATGAATAATGTCAGTAGTAGAACCCAGAGAACTAGCGAATAAATCTTGGGCTTCGAAGGTAGGAAAAATTATCGGTTGGTAATTATTTTTTTGGAGTATTTCAGTAATTATTTTTTGAACTTTCTGATAAATTAGCGAACGAGGCGGATAAATATCTTGGGTGCCGCGAGGCTTATTAGGAAAACCATTATTTTTTTTTTTGTCCACTAGTAATTTTGTCTATTCTTATTTTGGGATTAATATAGTATTTTACAGCAAAAACTATTAATGCTTTCTTAGTCTTTGTCTCTTTTTTCAAATCCTTAGAGCCACAAAACCAATTAGACCTAATGGCAAAATAATTAAAGCAATAATAGTAATAGTTTCGGAGTCAAAAAAAGTAGACTTATCCGGTTCAAAATTTTGAGAAAATTCTTCATTCCTTTCGCTATTTTTTTGTTCTCTAATCAGTTTTATAAGGTTTTGTTTAACTAATTCAATAGTGTCGGGGTCGTTCATATTTTTCAACCTCGTTTCGTAGTCTTTATTTTCGCCCAATTCAATTTGGCTTCGCCCTATCTCTTTTTTTATTTCTGTAATAGCCTCATTAACAATTACGGTTAATTTTTCTTGCTTCTTTTGGGTAATTGCTTCCTTTAATTTAATTTCGAAAGCGGTAATGTCTTCTAATTTTTCCAAACTATTTATTTTTTCCTCCACGCTTTTATATGGAGCCAGGAGAGAGGCGGGTAATTCTTCTTCCTTAACTGCTAATTTTTTATGACCTTCTTTAAGTTTAGTTTTAAGGCGATTAGTAGAACTGATTTTAGAGGTAGAAAGTGTTTCCGTTTTATCTCCGCCGTTGGCAATAATTATTTTTTTTAATCTTTCCAATTCGACACTTATTTCAGTTTCGTTTTTACCCCGAAAACCATTCTTTCAATTTGGTCCTAAAATACTTTCGGACAAACCATTAACAGTCAAAAGGTTTTCAATTTCTCGAATGGCGGCCATAATTCCGGCATTATCCCGATCCACAAAATCTTTGATTTTGTGGATAAACGTATCTCTAATTTGGTTGATATTATTTTCATTACTTAAACCAATGAAGTTTCTTTCTCAATCATTTCCTAAAATTAATGTTATTATAGCAGGGTTATTTTCTAACTGGTTATCTCGCAAAGCATTCTTTACAGCGGCAATGGCACAGTCTATTTTCACCTTATTGCCATTACTATAAGCATCAATTAGAGAAAGTAAATAGTTCCTTTCGGCATTGATTTCAGCCTTATCGTTATTTTTTCTAAGGTTTTTAAAATGCCTTTTTAAATCTACTCCCGGCGGTAAAATTTGAGTTTCTGAAATTTGATTAAGGGCTAATTCTTCTTTAATTTTCCGCCGAGCCGCAAGCCGGTAAATACTTCCTAAATAATTGATTCGGTAATTATTTACTTCATTATTCCCGCATCAATGTTTTAAAAAATTTCTTCAACCTGGCAATATTCTATTTTCTTCCTCCAAATATTCCGCTGCATTTTTCCCATAATTAATAAGTCTAGTATCCCGGAAAGCCTTTACTATTTCTTGAATTGCCTCTTCTCGCGGTTCACCACTTCCTCCATTTCCACCAGAACCTGTATTTCCGAGAGGTCTTGCTCCTACCCGATTAATTTCTGCCCTAAATTCATTAAATATTCGGTTAATTTCTGTGGTTAATAATTCGCTATCAGCACTAGTAAATTTCATTCTAGTAAAAGTAAAGGAATAGTCTTGTGACACTGTTCTTCCTAGGCTGTCTACTACCTCTAATTTTGCCAAATTTTCTAGTTTTCTTCTTCGCTCGTTAAAAAAAACTTGGTTGACGCCGCCTCCTTCGCGGTCCCGTAAATTACTAAATTCAGTTGACTTCTGGGTTATTTTTTCTTTAATATCTCGGAAAACTTTCGCTCGGTTAATGACTTGCCGATAGGCGAAATGGTCGGGATTATCAAATCGGAGATTAATTATTCCTGGTTCAGCACTAGGAAAATTAACCGAAGTAAATCCGGTGATAAAATGAAATTTTTCGGTTCCTTGTAGTTCTTCGGGTCCGGAAAAGGTGTCCCATCCTTGCATTTCTCGCAACGTCTCCAAATTTTCCTCTTGGGCGTCTTGTCAAGCATAGAGATTTCGAGAGGTTTTTCCACGAATTATTTCTCCAATTTTAATTCTAACTCGCTTATCATAACGCACTACGGCTTCATTATTTTTATGCTGCCAAATACCCATGGAAAAATTATTAAAATTGCGGTATGTTCCTAATTCCCGGAGTTGAATATTTCTTCTTTGTGTATTAATACTTGCCCGAGGTTTACCCGTTATTTCATCGTCTAAACTACGTAATAAACCATAAACATGAATTACCCAGTTCGCTCAACGACTAAGTCCGGCTTTGGTTCGGGATTGGTTTATAACGTCTTCGATATAATTATTACTAGGGAAATAAGTGTTTTTATAACTTGAAATATCTTCCCCTCCAACTTTTCCAGTGCCAGTTGAATCGGGATTTTGAATGCCTTCCGCTTCCTCAGTTCGCCGAGACAATTGAAGCAATTTGTCCTTAACCATTTTTTTAAATGCTAGGTCAGCATTGTCGCCGGTAATAATTCTATAAAATCTATCATACTGTCGTTTAGTTTCTGGATTTCTGAGAATGTTAAAGGCTTCATTAACTAATTGAATAGTTTCTAAATTCCCTCCCCTATCGGTATGATTTCGTCTTGCTTTTTGTTTGTGAGCCGCTGAAATTTGGGTATAGACTTCATTCTTTTCAAGTCTAGTTTCTTCTCGCCGACGTGTTTCAATTATTTTGTTAGAACCAACTTTTCTTACATTTTTTCCCTCACCTCTCAACTGGTTAAAGTATTCATTAATATTTCTTTCATCCAATTCATATCCTAAATCATTGCGGGTAATTTCTCTATCTTCTTCTATCGTCTCGGTTATCGCTTCTGATTTTACTTCTCTATTCAATAAATTCTCCGCATTTAATCCTAAAATTTGATAATAATCTTTTCCGCTAGCATTGGTTCGGGCTGTTCTTTTTTCTTCCCCTTCTCCCTCTTCGACTTCTAGAATTAGTTTAAGAAAATAGTTCGGGTATCCTTCGAATGGCATAATTAATTATAAATCTAGGTTAGAGAAAACACCTTGTCTGCGGTGCTTACTATTGCTGTTTTTTTTTTTTAGAGTCTCCTCTATGTTCTTCACAAACAAACTATCATTGTCTCTAAAAAAATATTTTAGTTTTTTTGTCATAATGCCTATAATATTAATTATTATATGTTTTATATAAAAATATAAATCAATTCCGAAATTTTGTAAAATAAAAAACCAACTAAAACTTGACTTTATATAACAAAATTAATTAATTTATTTTTTATAAATACTATTTTAGTAATTTTTTGGTTGGTTAGTATTTTGTTTATTTTTGGTTCATTTTTGGCTAACCCCTCTATTTCGGCTTGGTTTGCTTCTCAGTTTGCCAAAATTACTGCTTTTTTTTGCCCGTTAATTTGGACTACTATGTTTATTTGGGAAAGGGGGGCAATAGGGGTTTTGCTTTGCGGTCAACTGCTTTCGCTGATAGATTTTTTTTTATCTTTAAACTCTCCGAAATAACTTCACATTTCCTCAGCAATATGGGGTGCTAAGGGACTTAACAATTTAAGGAAATTCAAAAAACACTCAATTGGCATGAATTTGGCTTGAGCTTGATAGCAACTATTAATAAATTCCATGAGCGAAGAAACTACTAAATTAAGTTTAAGTTTTTCATAGTAAATATTTACTTTTATAACCATTTCACAATAAGCCTTTTCTATTTCTTCGTTAGGGATATTGGTAAGGGCGGCTTCTCGGCAAAGGACAAAAAAATTATAAACTCGGTCTAGTCATTTTTTCATGGCCCACACCCCATTAGGGTCAAATTTGGTTGTTTTTTCCGGCGGTCCTAAAAAGACTTCGTAAAGTCGCAAAGCATCCGCTCCAAATTTTTCAACAAATTCATTCGGATTAACTACATTCCCTCGCGATTTAGACATTTTTTCCCCATCGGCTCCTAAAATCATGCCTTGACAAATAAATTTTTGAAAAGGTTCAGGCTGGGAAACCACTCCCATATTATGGAGAATTTTATGCCAAAAGCGAGCATATAATAAATGTAAGTTAGCATGCTCTTGGCCGCCGATATAAATGTCAACCGGCAACCACCGCTTTATAATTTCTTTTGCTTCCGGGCTATTAAGTGCTAAATAAGAATTGTTTTTTTTCAACAAAAAGGCAATATAATATCAGCAAGAGCCGGCTCACTGAGGCATGACATTGACGTCTCTTTTTCCTTTTTTTCCGTCTTCTGATTCAACGTTTACTCAATTTTGGATTTTTTGTAAAGGAGCGTAATAATTAGGATTAGGAGTGAAGTCAGTTAAAGAGGGAAGGGTTAGGGGCAAATCTTTTTCAGATAAAAGTTCTTGTTGGTTATTTTCTCAGTGAATAACCGGAATTGGTTCTCCTCAATATCGTTGCCGAGAAAAAACTCAATCTTTCAGGTGATAGAATTTTCCTATTTTTGCTTTCTTGGCTTGAACTAAATAGTGGTTAATAATTTCAACCGCCTGCTTTTTATTGTCAAGTTTGTTAATCAAAGGTGAATTAATGAAATAACCACTAATTTTTCCGTTTTGGTTGATTAATTGAAAAATTTTTTTTATCGGCAAGTTATATTTGGCAGCAAAAGTATAATCAATTTGTTTATTTTGTTTTAACTCTTTTTCGCTAACTAAATCTGGTATTTCTTGGTAAACAAATATCTCGGGAGAAAAAGCATTAATCATTACGGCTCCGGTTCCATATTCATTAATAACAAAATTAGTTACTCAAATCGGTAATTTTTCGCCAGTTAAAGGGTGTTGACAATAACTTCCGATAAATTTTCCATAGATTTCTTTGCTTTCTTTGTCCTTCCAAGTCGCACAAAATTCATTTATTTCGGTTTGTCTATCCGGGGAAACAATTTGGGTGATAAGGGAATGGTTAACTGACAAAGCAAGGGCAGACACTCCATAAAGAGTTTGGGGGCTTTTAGTAAAAACAGTGATAAAAAGGTTAGAAATATTTACAGTTTCTTTGCTCGGACTTTCATTTAAAAAAACCTGGTTATGTCAAAAAGCTTCCTTATTTTCAAAAAACCAAGACTTATTTTTATCATTTGAAAACACTGCTAACTGCTTCATATCAGCCTTATACCTGTAAAATAAAGCCAGTAATTCCCTTAAATCTTTTTCGCTAATTTCGTTGCTTTTTATAAAAAGATAAAGTTTTGTTCCGCTTCCTTTCATCTCTGAGATACAAGAAATTTTTTTTATTCATTCAAAAAAAGCATCTTCGTCGTGAGTAGAATAATATGAAACATTTTCGCAAATCAATTTTGTTTCTTTTATTACCAGGAAATCAATAAAAGTTCCTTGGTTAAGTCCAATTCAGTTAGTTTGTAAACTTTTAATGCTGTTGGGTCAGTCTAAATCTTTTAATCCATTTAGCAATTGCGGAGCATAATTGGTAATTTTTAAAACTCACTGCGGGATTTTTTTCTCTATTACCGGATAATTTCCCCGTTCGGATACTTTTCCCCCCTCCACATTTTTTATCTCTTCGTTGGCTAGCACAGTGCCTAATTTTTCACACCAATAAACCGGTATTTCTTTATGTTCGGCTAATTTTTGTTGGTAAATCTGGCAAAAAATCCATTGCGTTCAGTGGTAATAATGAGGGTCGTTGGTATTAACTTCCTTGCTTCAATCATAAGAAAAACCCATTCTTAATAATTGTTGCTTATAATTTTCAATATTTTTCTGAGTAAAAAGAGCGGGGTGATTACCAGTTTGGATAGCATATTGCTCGGCTGGCAAACCAAAAGCGTCCCACCCTATCGGCATTAAGACATTATAACCTTTTAAGCGATAAAAACGAGCCAAAGCATCGGTAATAGTATAATTACGGACATGTCCGACATGTAAACCACTCCCGGAGGGATAGGGAAACATGGCTAAAATGTATTTTTTTGGTTTAGATTGGTTCGCTAAATCAGCGAAAAAAGTCTTATTTTTGGCTCAATATTCTTGTCATTTTTTTTCGATTTCTTGGTGCGAATAACCCATATTATTTTTTTTACCTTTTTAAGTGGTTCGTAAACTAATTCTGCCCGAATTTGACTAAATTCGGGGGTAGTTTTTTTTGCGATTTTATTATAAAATCTCCGACTTTTAATTTTTTAGCCAAAGCAACCCCTTAACTTTTTTTAAAACTACCTTCGCTGTTAATATTGTTTGGTTAAATACCTTTGCTTTTTTTGCTACCTAGTTTTTTTTTTTTTTTTGCGATTATTAATCCTCCTACCGCTACTAAACTTATTGCTACTACTAGAAAAATGGAAACTGGCATTCAAGGAAATTTATCCGAGTTGGTAGTTGGTGTATTTTTCCTACTCTCTTTAATTTGTTGAATTAATTGTTGAGTTTGGTTTAACTGCTCTCCGGTGTAAACATTATCCCTAATTGTTTCCAAAAATTCCACTATTTCAGAATATAATTTTTCAATTTTTTTCTCATCCTTAGTTTGTAAAACTTGTTGGACTTGGACTGCGAAATTTTTTATTTTTTTTTCGGCTCCGGCTTGAACCACTTTAACATTTAACTGGGTGCTAATCTTTTCAATTTCACTTTTGCTGTTAATTTGCTTATTTTTCACCTTTTTTCATTCTTCTTTTAATTGGTCGGTAAGTTTTATTTCGTTTTCTTTTAGGTTGTTAGCGAGCAAATTAGTTTCTACCTTGCCTATTATGGCTTGGCGATACTTTTCGGGGTCTGCTTGAAAAAGTTCATCCTCAATAGTTTTTATTTTGGTTTCCTGTTGCTTAAATTTTTCATTTCCGAAAACCTTTCCGGAATCCTTAACCACCGTAGTTTTTTTTTCGTTATCTCCGTTTTGAGCCTGATTAATGCCATCATTCAGATTATTTTCGGTATTTTTTTGCTCCCGAGCAACATTTTCTTTGGCTGCTTGGTCGATTTCCTCATTAGTTTTGTGGTTTGAAGTATTATTAGTTTGGTTGGAGGTATTTCCATTATTCCCACTACTTTCTGCTTCGCTAATACGAATACGAGTGAAAGAGTATCCAATCTTAACCTCCTTCTCTTTAATTTGGGCTTTCTCCGGACCAAAATTAATACCTCCAATTGTTATTCTATTGCCTGCTGCTAACAAAGGGTTCCAACTTTCAATAGTAATTTGGGTAAAATTTTTACCTTGGATGACAACTCCTTCTCCTGCTACTTTCAAAATAGTTAAATTTCCGTTCTTTTCGACACTATCAATGGTGAAAGTTAAGTCTACGGGAAAATTTTCGGTAAATTCATTGGTGTTTGTGGTGGAAGAAGGAGGGGTTGTAGAAGTCGTTTGTTCTTTTTGTCCGAATTCTCTTACTTCCATTCCAATTTTTCCTACTCCTACAATATAGAACCTAGCACTGTTTACTCTAATTTTTATCTCTCTTTTAGGTTCATTTTTATCATTTTCAAAATCTCTCAAAATGGCTTCGCTGGCAGGGTTTTTAGGTAATGTTAATTGGCAAAATTTTGAACCCAAAGCATTCTCAATTAATTTCTGTTCGTCAAACTCGATAGTAATTTTGCCTCCATATTTGTTGCTAACATCGGTAGGTTTCTTCACCAAAATGTCTCCAAAAAAATTTTTGACGCTAAATTTATCAATCACTAAGAATTTTCCTTCACGTGCAGCATTACCCCGCACTATGGTGCCTTCTGTTTTTTCAACTTCTAACGTTAGTATTCTTTTTTCTTTATCACCAAGGAGAGAAGTGTTATCAATCGGAATTTCATATGATTTTTCTCCATCATAATCTATGCCGGTAATTGTCTCGCTTTCATATTCAAAAGGTTTACATCAAAAGCAAAAATGCCTATCTACCTCTACATAATTAATATGACTATCTTTTGCGATTATAATTTTTTCCATAACATTTATTAATATAGTTATAAATAACATTTTATATATAAATATGTTTCTCGGTTTCGGTTTATCCAAAAATTAAATCTGCTAACTCTTTCAAAGAAAACAAAAAAATAATAAGTTAAAAAATTAGTTTCTGGCTAACTAACCACAACAAATAATAGAATAAATTACTTGAAAAAAAATTAAGGTGTTCCAAACCACCAACCAAATCAATTAAAAAAATTTATGAGTTTACTAGTAAAAAAGGTTTAATTCTACTTCCCAAAACAAAATTATCAGCATTGTAAAAAGCAAGTCATAATGAAAAATACTATAAAATAAAACTATATCTAAATTTTTGTTTAATGACCAAAAAAAAAGAAACTTGTCGCTATGAATTACTTTGTCTCCTACACCAGAAAAGTAAAAATCAAGATAAATATGAAAAAATGATTAAGAACCTAGAAGAATTATTAGGAAAGGAAAATATTGAAAAAATTGAAGAAAAGGATTGGAAACCAGTTTATATAGAGGAAGGAAGTTATGTTCTTATCAATTTTAGTTCTCCGCGAGAAAAAATTAAACAACTTGAAAAAGAACTAATAAAATTAAAATCTTCGGTTGAAACCTTTTTAGACCGCTACTTGTTAATCAACCTTGAAAACGAAAAAATAAATAAAACTAAATTAAAAGAGAAAAATGCTGAATAAAGTTAAATTAACTGGTAAAGTAATATCACTAAAAATAAAAGAAAGAATAGAGGATAAGGAGTTAAAGATTTATTTTAGTTTGGAGGTTCCTAACCCTAACAATGCCACAACTATTTTACGTTGTGTTTCCCAAGGAGAAATTGCCGAAAGGATAGAAAAAGAACTCCAAAAAGAGGATATAATTGAAGTTCGTGGTTATTTACGCAACGAAAGAAATTATTCAACTGTCTCCGATGGAGAAAAAAACCGACAAATATTAACTAAAATAACTGATTTTGTTAAATTAGATATCAAATTTGAGGAAATTGATAAGAAAAATTCCAACCAAGTGCGATTAATTGGAAAAATAATTACCGATTTCAAAGACCCCGACGAAAAAAGAAATCCAGAATTGTTAACCTTTAAAATTGAAGTTCCACGGGAAAGAAATCCCTCTCCGTTGTTCTTTTGTCGTGCCCAAGGAGAATTAGTGGCTGATTTTAACCAGCATTTAAGCAAAGGAGATATTATTTTCCTTGAAGGATTTTTACAAGCCAAAAAAATAGTAGAAAGATGAGAACAGAGCGAAAGCGGAGAAAGAATTTTTTGAATCTCAGCCATTATTTGTCAAGGATTTACTTTCCTCGATAGTGATTCAGCAAGCATATTTAAACCTTTGAGTGGGTTCACCCGTATTTTCAAAAATGCTCGGGAAATCGATTTCAATAAACCCAAAGAGACAAATTTAACCGAAGAGTAAAAAAAAATAGTGAAAAGTTATTCAAATAAACCAAAAAAAGTTAAAAAGAAAAAGATTAGTGTTCGGACTGATTATTTTTTTCAAAAAGGGATTGAGTATATTGATTACAAAGATACTGACACTTTACGTAAATTCATTAATCGACAAGGAAGAATTGTTCGCCGCACTTACACCCAATTAACTACTAAAACCCAACGACAAGTAACTAAAAGTATCAAAAGGGCTCGGCAAATGGCTCTCTTGCCTTATTCAATAGTCGAACAAAGTGAAGAACCACAAAAATAATAATATATGAAAATCGATTTAAGTAAATGTTCCCATTGTCAAAAAGAACTAATCGCTGGTCAAGAATATTGAGAACTTCAATGAGAAGGAAAAGCAGTTATGAGTTCTTGTCTAACTTGCTGAAACAAAACTAATTCGGAAAAAAAGGTCTGAAAAAAAGAAAATCAAAATTAAAAAATATATGAATAATCAAAATCAAGATAAAAGAATAATAATAAATGTTTGTCAAACTTGTCGCACTCCAATTTACGAAGGCGAACCAATTTATACTAGTTCCCGCGGGCAAAGTTCGGGACACACCAAAGGTGTTTATGGTGGGAAAAGTTTTTTTGGAAGTTCGCAAGTCGGAGCCTACGGAGGGCATTATAGCGGTAGTAATTCCTCCGAAAGTTGGGCTCAATGTGCTTGATGCTATGACCAATGGCAAGTCGAAATGGCAATCAATCGAAAATTTTGAATAAAATGGTGGATAGGAGGAATATTGTTGGCTGTTATTGCGGCAGTTTCAAGTATTTTTATCTGACCGGGGATAGATTTGCTACCTAGTTCTGGGACTTCATGATGGAAATACAATATCTTAACCTTAGGTAGTTTAAAAATTCCGGCTATCGCTCCCATAATTTTAGTAACAATTATTTCTCTAACCGGACTTATAGGCACTCTTTTTCCTACTGTCAACCGATACAAATTAAGAAAAAAAATAGTCAAATTATAAGAAAATGAAAAAAACCGAAAAAGTTATCTTTCTCTATCACACCCAGTGGGGTAAGAAGTTTGAAGTAAAAGAGTTTGCCAAAGGATTTGTGCTTAACTATTTCTTGCATCCTAAGAATAAGAAAAAAGAAGTTTTGTTAGCCAATCAAAAAAATTTGGAGTGGTTAAAAGAGCAAAAAATAAAGTTAGAGCAAGAAGAATTATTGTTAGAACAAAAATCCCAAGAATTATATCAGCGAATTAACAATTTTTCCCTTTCGTTTGACCTAAAAAAGAACGAAAAAGGCAACCCATTTGGTTCAGTTAGTTCAAAAGAGATTTTGCAGGAATTAGAAAAGCATAATTTTAAGTTAGAGAAAAATCAGTTATCAGATTTTCGCCCTTTTCATGAATTAGGAGAAAAGGTTGTTAAAGTAAAGTTAAATAATAAACTAACTGCTAACTTAAAAATAATAATAAAATAAACCGATAAAAAAACTAAAATTAATTAATATAGATAGAAAATTATATGAATAAAACCGAAACTGCTAAACTTAACAATTTTGAGATTAAAAAACAAATGGATAAATGAGGTAAAGAATATTTTATCATTGTCAATAATGACGACCAAAGCGAAGCCTATTTTTGTTTCCAAAGGTTAGTTGAAGAGGGTTGAAATATTTTGAGTAGTAATCCCCTTCCGACTAGTATTGAAATTGAATACGAGGAAAGCGAACAAAAAGATAAAATCTATAAAAGGGTTATTAGGTTATACACTGACGAAGACATTCTTATTTAATTAGCCTTAGTGCCTATATGATAACATTCGGAAATTGGAAAGTATTAATAGAAAAACAGGTTGAATTGGATAAACTTATTGTGGAAAAAAGTCCCACCGATTTAAAATGGTTTTCTTGCTCCAATGCCGAAAGGTTAAAACTGGCTCTGCTAGTAGAAGTAGGGGAGTTTGCTAATGAAATAAAATCCTTTAAGGCTTGACGAAAAAAAGCAGAAATTGATTGAACCAAAGCCAAAGAGGAATTAATTGATTGTTTGGGTTATTTTTTGGGTTTGGTTAATATTTATCAAATAGATTTTCCTTCCACCCTTTTTAATTTAAAACAGGAAAGCGAGGATTTATCATTCAACGAATTACTTTTAGTTTTTTTTGCTCGAACTAATGACTTGTATATTGAAGAAAAAGAAGAGATTTATAATTTAAAAAATAGAAAAATTAATGAGAAAGGACAAAATACCTACCATGGTTGATGAATGGTTTTTGCCGAGGTGTGTCGAAAATTAAAAATCGACGAAAGCGAATTAATAAAAGTTTATTTGGCGAAAAATAAAATTAACCAGCAAAGAGCCGAGGCGAAATAATTGCTATATAAAATAAGTTAATATTTAATGAAATGATATGCCAAAAAAAAAAAAAAAACGATAATTTGAATAGTTATTGGAATAATTACCGCAGTCGGAATTGGGACTATTACCTATTTGACTTTATCGAAAGGAGACAAATCAGTTGAAAATCAAACTCCCGCTAATGCAGGGGAGAAAATTCGCCAATTAAGAACTGAATTAAGTTCTCTCCGAGGCAAAGTTAATAATCTATCCAACACTACCAAAAAAACTCAGTTAGAGAGTAAACTATCTAATTTAGAAAATCAGTTAAATAATCTTGCCAAACAAGATAAATCGGCCATTCAGAAATTAGAAAATGAATTAAAAAAGATTAAGAAAGAAATTGAAAGCGATAAACCGGATGAGAATCCTCCACCAGGTGATAAAAAGGAAGTAAAAGTTGGATTTTTCGGCAAGTCTTTGAATAATAATGGGGAGTTTGACACTTATAAGTTCATGGATGAAGAAAGAAAAAATATTTTTTATATCAGCAAAAATCACTCCCGAATTAAAGAACTATTGAACCAAAACAAATTACAAAAAGACAAAGAATTTACTCTTCGTTATGGGAAAATAGATAAAAAAGAGGGGATTTCGGAAAGTTTTTTTATTTTTAATGAGGATAACCAAGAATTAGAAATTGTGGAAATTAAACAACCCGACCAACCCGACCCTGAAAATAATGGAAATTATAAATGAGTTAGCACCAAAATAAATGACAATACTTATAAATACAAAATAACTCTTAATGGTAGTGATAAAATAGATTTTGCTAATTTTATTATTTTTCTTAAAACGAAAGATAAAGAGTTTTTCAAAGCCTTTCAAGGAGCCTTAAAAGATGCCAATGCTAAATTCCCGGCCTATTTTTGGAAATGTCCGCCGGTATCTAAAAATACCCTCGGTAAACCCTTTGAATTTGTGGTAATTAAGAGCGAATCTTTGGCTGGTATTACCCAAAATTATAAAAATTTTGAAACATATTTACTCAGTGCAGCCGGACTCGGTCTATCCCATGCTAGTTTTGATTCGCCAAGCGGTAATATCCTTGTTATTCCTGCCCTAACAACAAAAGATGGTTCTGAACCGGTGGACTACAAAAATATTAGCCAATTCACTAAAAATGCTCCCGAGGAACAGCAACAGGCACTTTGAAAAGAAGTAGCCGACAGATTGCAGGAAAAAATTAATGAATGGAAAGTTTGCTGATTAAATACAGAGGGATTCGGTGTTAGTTATCTCCATGTGCGGATTGATAAATCTAATCATTTTTACTCAAACTATGAGGAATATAAAAATCTTAGGGAATAAATCTATTCCTGCCGCCTTATAAAAAAAGTAAAAATAATATATAACAATTACCAATTATTATGACAAGAACTTTAAGCATTGCCATTAAAGAAAATACTTATCAAGAACTAAAACAGAAAATCGGACTAGGGAAAATTAGTTCTTTCGTTAGTCAAGCGGTAGAAAAGAAACTTTTTGAATTAGCCCAAGAAGAGGAAAAAGAAAAAGAGAAATTAAAACAACAACTTATTAAGGGTTATCAAGCTCGAGCCAAGAATAAGAATTTACAAAAAATATTTTGAACTTATGGAGAAACTTCTTGGAAAGATGTATCCGCCGAGTTAAATAGACGAGAAAAAAAGGATGGCAAAAAAGTAATTTTCCAAGAAAGGGAGAAATTTGATTATTAAGAAATCCCGAACGAATTAAAGAATTATCAAAAGCCTATCGCCCAGTTTTAGTAATCAGCAATAACGAGCGGAATGAATATGATAACTCAGTAGTGGTATTACCGCTAACTGCCAACAATTTAGAAAATATCTTGCCAGTGGAAGTTTTTATTAAAAACACTCCGGAAACTGGTTTAGACGAACCCAGCACGATTCTATGCGATTCTCCTTTTACCTGAGACAAAGGAATACGTTTTGAAAAAAGATTAGGAGTAGCGAACAAAGAAATAATGGAAAAAGTAAAAGTAGCCTGAAAAGTTGCTTTTAATGTGGAGGAATGATAAAATTAAGTCCTTTTAATATTCAACTAGTAGTTATTTATTAAAGACAGAATAATTAAAAATCATTTGCTTACTTTTGGTAGACTTCTTGACATTTTTTCAATAATGTCTCTGCTTGCTCTTTACCTTCAAATTCTCCTATTTCTACTTTTTTGCCTTCTAAATCTTTATAGCGAGCAAAAAAATGTTTGATTTTCTCTTTCGTTTGGTGAGGAACATCCGCTAATTTTTGAATATGGTTTAATTCCGGTTCACCGGCATTCACAGCTAATAATTTATCATCTTGTTCGCCTTTATCGACCATTCTTAAAACTCCAATAATTCGCACTGGAATATAAAGTCCGGAAAAAGTGGGTTGGATGGTTAAACAAATAACATCTAATTCATCCCCATCTGGTGCTAAGGTTTCTGGAATAACACCATATTCCCCTGGATAAGTCATCGCCACTGACAAAACCCTATCCAATTCGAACCTTTTTTTAGTTTTATTGTATTCAATTTTATTAAAACTACCCTTTGGTATTTCGACTTTCATGTATATTTCCATATGACTAATTTTATACTTAAAGGCTTGGTCTAAACTACTCCCATTTGGTTATTTTGGGTTTAATTTGTTTTTCAAATCCGCCATTCGCATTTTGTTTAGTTTATTGCTTTTTGTTTGAATATTTTTTTAAATAGACACGTTTATTAGACTAATTTAATGAAGTTGAATACTAGTAAATATTTTAACAGTTTATATTTGAATTAAACTAATTAAAAAGATAAAGAAAAAAACTAAAAATTTATCCTAACTTAAAAAATCGGTTCTCCGCTTTCTTTGTTTCTCTCCGTATTAAAAATTACTCCTCCGCCTAGACAAATATCATTATGATAAAAAACGGCATATTGTCCGGGAGTAACGGCTCGTTGTTTTTCGGAAAATTCTACTCTGGACTCTTCAAAATTAGTTGTGGGAAAAATTTTTACTGAAATATCGGGCTGTCGGTAACGAAATTTAGCGGTTATATTTTGATTATCTAAAAATGTAGTTAATTTTTCCTCTTCGACTAATCAACTAATATTTTTCACTATACACCAATTACTATATAACCAATTACTATCTCAACCACTAGTCACATAAATTATATTTTTTGCTAAGTTTTTTCCTACTACATAGAGAGGTTTTTTTTGCCCTGATAGGCTCAGATTTCGCCGTTGTCCGATAGTAAAATAATAGGTTCCAAAATGTTTTCCGAGGATTTTTTTACTATCAATATCAATTATTTCACCCTCTTTTTTGGGAAAATAATTAGCCAAAAAATTGGTGAATTTCTGTTCGCCAATAAAACAAATTCCGGTAGAGTCTTTTTTTTTGGAATTAATCAATCCTATTTCTTCTGCGATTTGGCGAACTTTTTTTTTAGTTAAATCAGCCAGGGGGAAAATTATTTTAGTTAATAACTTCCGGTCAATTTGGCATAGAAAATAAGTTTGGTCTTTGGATTTATCCTGAGGTTTAGTTAAAAAATTTCCAAAATGAATGCATTTCAAAGAAGCACATTCGCCACTTCCCCTAATAATTTTAGCATAATGACCGGTAGCAATAAAATTAGGTTTAAAATGCTTTTCTGCATATTCAACAAAATTACGAAATTTGATAACACTATTACACAAAATATCTGGATTAGGGGTGAGACCTTTTTCTAAATCTTTCAAAAAATTAGAAAATACTTTTTTTCAGTATTCTTGAATAAATTCTACTTTATGGATAGGAATATCTAATTGTCTAGCAATCGCTTGGGCGTCGTTTCAATCCTGGGTTTGAGAACAAACACTTATCGGTTGACTACCTAAATAACTGTCTCAGTTTTGCATAAAAATACCAATTACTTGATAACCTTGCTTCTTCAAAAGGTAAGCCGCTACGCTTGAATCTACCCCCCCACTTAAACCAATGACAATTTTTTTACCGCTATTCATTTAGAACAAGAACAAATTATATTTTAAAAATTTAGAAAAAAAATACTTTTTTTAAAATCCGAAAGTTAAAATTATTAACGAACATTTCCTAATCATAACTTAATCTAGAATAAGCAATGACTTATATTACTATTTTAGTTCAAGTCTCAAATCACTAACTTTTTTGAAAAACCATTATTCATTTACCATACTCATTTTTAATCAGTGGTTCAAACTATTTTTAATACTTTCTTTATCTTTAAACAAAACCACTGCTACTTCCTCATTTTTTTTGTTTTTTCACTGTTGAGAACTAACCACCAGAATATTTTTTTCTGCTAAAAAAAGTTGTTGGCAAATAGCCTGGTATTCTAATTTATATGTTTTGGCTAAAAACGAAACATGGTCCTCATTCCCAACTTGTAAAAGAAGGATATCCTGGTAAACTACCAACAATTCTGTATCAGAAAAAAAATTAGGCTCTCGACTTATTGCTTTGAACCATTTTTGATTCTCTGCTTTGAAACTTCTTTCATCAAGGTTATTATTTTCTATTCAAGAAAGCAAATCGGCGAACTTGACATAACAAAGAAAAATTTTATCACTTAGCATTTGATTATATTATTAAAGTTTAAATTAGAATTGCCCCTACCGCTAATCCTTGATAATTTGAGTTTGGTTAAACTCAATTTTAATTTTAATACTACAATAAATATTAATTTTGGTTTTGGACAAAGACAGCAAACCCTTTATTGTTAATTTACTATTTTTTGGAGGAACCGGCCGGATTCGAACCGACGATCTGAAGTTTTGCAGACTTCTGCCTTACCACTTGGCCACAGTTCCCTATTTATTCTTTATTAGCGCACCAATTTTAGTCAAAACCACTAATTAACATTAATTCTAGGACTGGCTCTCGATAGTTTTTTTTGTTTCTTATCGGCTCTCCACAGATATTAAAGTAATTTTATGATTATTTGCGGTTAAACAATAAAATAAGTGATTCCTCTAAATCGATAGCATGTTCTAAACTTAAATAGTTATTTATTTTTTCATTTAGTCGCTTTTCAATAGTTCTTTTTACTATTTTGGGGGGGTCGTCTTTTTTTATATCACGTGCCAATCTAGTCTCTCATCAACTTCTTACCTTACTCTCTAATTTGGAAAGGTTAAGCAAAGAACTGAGAGCCAAAGATTCTATTTTTAATTCTTTTAATTGTAATTTTTTTTCTTCTCATTGAGTAATAAGTAGGAAAATTAATAGTCCGGTTTGTCCCAGGTTTTCCTTTTGTTTAATTAATAATTCTTCTAGGCTTATTAAAGTTTTTTTGACTTTGAGCGGGGAAAATTTATGGGTCGAAAAATCTAGAGAATAACCATTTTCAATTAGCGAAAACTCCCCCGATAAATGAGGAACGAATTTTTCGTGCTTATAACTGTTTTGTAAAGTAATTATCCTAATTGGTTGTAATAGTTTGAGTAATAATTTTAAATCGTAGAAATTAACTCCTAAGCGACAGTATTCTTTTTTGCTTAAATTAGTTATCTCTCCGCCTTGGTTATAAAGGTAATCAATTAATTTCGCTAACTTTCTTTCTCCGCCAATTACCGGAGGGGTACCGACTACAAAGTGAAAATCGGTTCTTTCTTCCGGGGAAAGAGTTGACAAATAATCATCTAATTTTCTTATAATATTTTCTGGATTACCAACTAACAAATAAATTTTATTTTTTTCGGCTTTGTTTTTCTCATTTTCAATTACTTTCTGTAAAGGACTTCTGCTTAATATTTGGCTAACTAGTTGAGCCGATTTTTCATCCAAAATGCGGATTTTATTTCCCCACTTTTTCCCGATTTCTAATAATTCTAAAATGTGTAATCAGTCAAAATCATAAAGAATAAAAAATAAGGGTTTATTTAGCCTTGGAAAATCCTTAGCAGCAAAAAAAAGCGAATTATCATTTTTTCAATGCATTCCTTGATAACTAGTGATTAAGTAAGTATTTTTTTTTTGTTGGGTTAAAAATTGTTGAAAATCTCGCAGAAAATTAGCCGGAAAAAGAAAATTATTATCTAATAAATTACTAAAAACAAAAGCCTCCAAAAAATAGAAACTATACTGAGAATAATTAACTTTGAGGGCTAGACTACCAATGATATAACTACTGAGGGGGAGAAAATGGCAGGAAAAATCACCTAACTTTACTTCTTTGGTTTTTTCAACCAATATTACTTTATTTCGGAGCCGAGGAAAAAGTGAAAGGAGAATTAATTTATTGTGAAAACTAGTGTAAATAGGGGTTTTGAAACCGAGGTCGCGACAGATATCATTTAATAAACCGACATTTTGTCAACTAGTATTATTAATTATGATTGCCTTAACTTTGTTTCGATTTTCTTTTAAATAATCTCGCCCGATTTGTTGCTCGGGGGTTCGGGCTAAGGAAAAATTTTGTCCGGCGGCTAACACAATAATACTTTCCGAAGTTTCCAGCAAAAAAAAATTCCCTTCATCTTCTCAATTTCCTTGAAAAAGCAAAAAACGGATTGACATTTTTATATTTTATTTATTTTAAAACTATATTCAACAAAAAGAAGTTTTTATCTTAATTCTTGTTAGCGTCATAGCAATTTTAGGTTAGTTTTTTAGTTCACTTAGCAAACTAAACCGGAACTCTGCTCTGCTTTTTATCTATATTAATTAATTTTATACATAGTTCGCCAATAGACGGTAAGGAAATTTATAAAATAATTATAACCATGTTTAAAGGATTTACTAACGAACTAAAAACCAAAATAGAGCAATTCAACCGAAACAACTCAAAAAGATTTATTTTCTGTTTTAGTGATTTACAAGAAAGTTCAGACCGAGGGAGTGATAGCTATGGAGATAAAGAATTAAAATTTGATATTATCTCCCCTGAATTACGGAAAAAATTAGAAAATGAAGTGGGAGTATCTAATCCGACGGCGATTAAGTTTGTTGATTCTCTTATGCATACAAGCGAAAATATTTTTTCTGCTCCCTCTCCATCAGTTTCTACTTACCTTAAACTTAGCGGAATTAATAAATATGACATTTGAATTATGTTTAAAAAGAAAGGTCAAAAAAAATCTCTGGCTGACCTAAACCAAAAAAACAATACTAGAACTATATACATACCTGATAGTAGCCACAAGTGAGAAGTTAATATTAATATGCTTGATTCTTTTTGTCAACCTAAAACTCTTCTTTCGGGCAAACATGTTTTGAATTTAGCATCCAAAGCAGAAGGAGAAAGAATAAAGAGAGCAGAAAGAGAAGCGAGGAAAAAGCATGCTGAGAATATTGCTAAGGTAAGTGGCGAGCCTCTTCAAGAAATTAATCAAACTCTTTCGGAATGTGGCATGAGTATTGAAACCGCCGAAATTGATTGAATGGCTATTTTGCCTGAACGGTGGTGTTCTTGTGAAGTAAGAGGAATTAATGAAAATAACACTCTTCACCAAAGCCATATCCGAAATTGCTTGTGGAGAGAAGAAAGTGAAATTAAAGCCTTTAAAGATAAAATGATAGAAGCAATTTTAAGAAAGGGAGGAACTAAGTTTAAAGATTACCAGAACCGAGTTATCCAAGAAATTATCCAACTAGCCCAACAAAAAGGAATTAGTGAAACCGAACTAAATAATATTCGTCCCAGTTGAAAAAATAATTTACTTGCTCTAAATAGACCAAGGGAAATTGCTGACTATCGAACTAACCAACTCGAAAAAACTATTGAAATATTGGCCGATGCCAAAAAGAAATCCGCCCAAGAACGCCAGCAAGCCGAAAATGAAGCCAAAGAGAATGCTCGAAAAGAAGAAGAAAGATTAAAAAAAGAAAAGGCCAAACAGGAAGAATTAAAGCAGAAAAGGGAGATTTTTATTGCCGAGATAACTGCCGCTCTTAACCAAGAACCTCAACTTACTAATAGCGAATTAAGTCCTGAATATCAAAACTGAGAAGGACAAATAAACCAGTTAACCGATATTCAACAAATTACCAACTTTCAAGATAGACTTTTAGCCGATATCCAAGCCCGCCGACACGATAAAAAAACCGCTCAGAAAGTAAAAGAAAACTTAAATAAAGCCCGTACCGGAACCGAAGAGGAAAAAAAACAAGCCTGAAAAGACTTAGAAGAGCAAGAAACCGAGAAGAGTTATCAAGAAAATAAAGCAGAAGCGGAAAATTTAAAAAAAGAAAAGGCCACTGAAAACCCCCAAAAATATAGCGAAGAAGCCAAACAAAAAATTGAAAAGAAACTAAAAAACAATGAAATTAAAGAAGATGAATTAAACCAGGAGAACCAAACAGAATGACAAAAATTAAAAAATGGGGAAGTTAAAGACCCTACCAAGTTAGTTGAAATTGAAACTAAAATCACCCAAAACATTTATCAAAAAGGAGCAGAGAGAAAAGTGGCAGACTTAACTTCACGAGTTAATCAAGTTCTAAACTCAAAATCGGATAAAAAAACCCAAATAACAGCACTCAAAAAAGAGTTATTGGAATTTATTAGTAGTAGCAATATTTATTATTCTGCTTATAAGAATCAAGCCGAAAAGTTGCTGGAAAGTCTAGAAAATGTTTCCCAAAATACTCCTCAATCCCCTGATTCTTTTTCCTCACCGTTTAAAATTGTAATTGGAATAGTGGTTGGATTAGTAATAGGCTTTTTTATATTTTTAATCTGAAAAAGTAGAAGGAAAATGGATAATTCTCGGAAGCATAGAATTAGGAAAAATTAATGGTGTAGTGGTTGTTATGAAAATTTTTTTCATAATCGGGTTGTAAAAGAAGTTAAATTAGTTTATTAGCAGAAATTTTTACACTTTTTGTGTTCCAATTATTCTTTTTTTTCTTCACACCAATTACATAAATTACTTTCGGTTTTTAATATCGTCGAACATTTTTTATGACGTTTTTTTAAAAGTAATAATCAAAATACTTTCTTGTAACCCCAATCAGGCCAATAAAAAAGGCAATTCCAACACCCCAAAAAAAAATAACTTTTATGTTATCGGTTGTTTTAATAAAATTAACAATTTATACTTTCACTACTCGCTAAGAGTTTTTTGAAGTTGATTGGTTGTTTTTTTTTTTTTTTTTCAGTAGAAGTAGCCTAAGGTGGCTAAGACTACTGCTCCGCTGAGGCTGAGCAGGAAGAATA